TCGGTGTCCGTTTAAGAATGAACTCCCCAACCCTCAAGTAATATTCCACTCGCTCCAAAAACGGGAGGAGTTTTGATCGGAGACTTTTCGTAACTCTGGTCGACCTCGGAATGACCAAGTAGACCACGTCGCGTAGGGCACAGAAGCTTAGAAGAGTGACTAGGAAAGCCGCCGCCGATACTAGGAAGAGACATAAAGGCAAAACCACAATGACAACTATGATAGCGACAACTTGCGAAAGAACCAAAACAGGCTTGTTGATACGTTGCATCGAAAAGAGAAAAAGAAACGGGGCTCCGCAACCGTCATCAGCATTCGGTTGGTTAGCGATGTAGAACCAGAAATAAACGTTGAAGCCCGCGACGACACCGAGAATGGCCGTCCTCCATACAACTCCAACCCATGAAATGTTACGAGGTTTGAATGGAGTCAGGTACTCGATAGGGACCTCGAAAGTCGGGTTGGAAAGATACTGTTTCGCAGCGGCATCTTCGAGGTATTCGCGGCCCATCCTGAATGAGGACTGGTAGAACGCCTTGACAACATTATTCCTCTCTCGCTCCTCTTTGAAGATTTGCTTGAATCGATGGCGACTCCAAATCTTCTCCCCCAGCTCCGCATTCTGTCTGCGCTTCTCGACGACCTTTTGGTAGTGATGCCAGATGAGCTTGACTCGTTTCGGTCGCAAGAAGTGATTCCGGACTCCTATCGTGCTGAGCACCGTGATGAAGAAACCAAGAGAGATTTGCAGCATGATGTACAACTCTATCGGCTTCACATCGCGATGGACCTGCGCCAAGATCGTGGCGATGATGACTGCAAAGACGAATATGGCGTTGACCCCGTGGACATCCTCGATGCTCTCCTCGTCCACCAGCATGCGGATCCAGGACGAGACCCATTGGCAGTAGACGCCGATGCGCACGCCAAGGCCGTATAGATCTCCATTGCCGTCGATGGCGCATCCGTCGGTACTCATTACGGGAAATATTACCACGTCTAAGTGTGAAAGCTGCGAGCTAGAAGCTGGGAGACGTCGGGGGGTTGATGTTCACCTGAGATGAGATTGCCGTGGCGCCATCGACACCAGACGCGACTGCACCGCTTTGGGGTAAATCTGTTTTGCAGGAATGAGGCAATCTGCCCCTTATGCAACCCGGCCGCTCGCCTGCAGCCGCCCGGCTCAGTCCGCCACGGAGGTGAAGATGGTGTCTCAGGCGTGGAGTTAGCGGGCGCCACGGCCCGCAAACATCGATATGAGCATATCTGGGCGGGTTCCAGAGCGGGTGATAATCTGCATTCAGCCTATCGAATCATATTCAGCTTGTCTTGGTCAGCAATAATTTGGGACTCGTGAATTCGAATAGATGGTTTTGTCTGACGCCCCCAGAAAATGATGTTCGGTTTTGCCACTGATATGGATACTTATTCTTACAAAAAGCCATGTTCTGTTTGTAACTCAACCTGAATCGCAGGTCAGAGGAGGTGCGTGGCCATACAGCCCTCAGAATTAATAACAGTATCCAGAGTTGAAGACCCTTTCCGCTATGCGTCGATTTTCAGCGATGCCAAACATTGAGGACGGGATACAACGGTGGTGTATAGGAGGTATTCGAAAGTGTCTCATGATTGTTTTACATAGCTGTCTAGTTCCTGCAAGTTCTACGACGACCTTTAGCCCTCCACCACCACTCAATCCGACGCCAGTATCCATAATTCGGAAACCGCCACCGTTCCTCGCATCATCCTTTTGACCTTCTCTAAGCTTTGCAACCACTTGATATTTGACTGATTCCTGTTTCTTTGGAACTGCCCTTCCAACAAGAAGACACCTTGGCGCACACCACTCCAAGGTCGGGTTGCGGCTGTGAAATTGCTTGAGGTCTCGACCGGCGTCTGAAGCTTCCCTTGTTCAATAAACCTACCAACAAGCAGCCACTCGACGATCTTCGGGAAGGATTTGGCAGCATCCACTGCGCTTACCCAGAATTCTGCCCGCTTGTAATGTATTCTCGCACCATGAGAGACCAGTATCTTCACCACTTCCGCTCGACCTTCGTGTGCAGCAGCCATCAATGCTGTTCCTGCCGCTGACCCTTCACACTCCACATCCAGTCCCATTTTCAATAGGTTTCTAACTTCGTCAACACGGCCATGGTGAGCCGCAAAGCAAAGGAGGCTGAAGTTTCGGCTCTCACTCGTTGTGTCTTGAAACTGACCCAGCCGTCGCAAGAAGGTAGGACCCATGCGCCGGTAGAATAGTGGGAGGCATCGCCGACTGGATCCTTTGGCCAAAAGCTGGACCTGCCACCAAGACTGCCAGAGTACCATCGTTTGAGGATCAATATCAATGTCTCGGGCAAAGTCCGAATTGAGAAGAAATGTCGCTATCTCGACCTTGACTAGGGCAGACGACCAAACAGGGAGGCCCAGGGCCCCTGGCTGATTGACTTTCATGCCTGTCGCCAGCAGCATGTGGAATGGCTTGATTTCATCCAGGAAAAGGAAACTGTTGCCTCCGTCATTGAAATTAATTCGCTTCCCTCTGTCTAGCAGGACTTCTATCGCTTGGATGTTGTCTTTAAGTATAGCTGTTTGGAGTGCTGTGCGACCTCGATAGTCTCTGATGTTAATCGAAGCACCTTGGTCGAGTAAATACTTAACCATCGCGGGATCGTCATGATCCGCCGCCATGTGCAGAGGGGCCATGCCGGCTGAATTAGTGGCGTCTGGGTCCGCTCCATGCGCGATAAGAAGGTTCGCCGCGACCACATTCTTTTTGATTGCCGCTCGGTGTAAAGGAGTGTTGCCGCTATCGCCTTTCGACTGTGTGGCTACTTCCTTCGCCAAGTTGCGACCGAGAGAAGCCTCAAATCGCTTCAAATGTGAGAGTAAGACCGCCAATGGATCGCTGGACTTTCTTTTAATGGCTCGGTGTGCTGGGGTCGAATTGTTTACGAGCCAAATAAGTTCTGCCGGGGGAATAGCTTCCAAATAGGTAAGGAGGGTCTCTTCGGGCCTCCCGCCTTCCATGAAGAAATCAAGTGTTGTGAAACCACGAATAGGCCACGCTTGATCATCTGAATTACTGCTCTCAGATGAGGGGGACGAAGAATCAGACGTTGATGAACTGTCACTGCCATCATTTATCTTTCTGCCCCTTTGCCAACCCACCGTGTAGTACCGTGTGATATTGCCGTGACGACGACATGTTATTCCCTTAAAGCTTGCCCCTCTACTGATGAGAACTGAAACACAGCGTTCAGAGACGTCATTCTTTCCCAAAGCATAGAGAAGAGGGGTGCATGTTCGACAAGACCTCATGATAATATTAGGCGAGCATCCCCCATCGAGAAGCTTCTCGACGTCTTCTTCATCATCTCTGTCGATTGCATGCTTCATAGAGCCCGCCCAAACTGTGGCTTTCATGTGCCTCTCTTGAGCAGTCATACCTTCGCCAGTGGCTGCTGCACCCAGGATGGAGTCCTGAACCATTCGCATGATGTTCTTACTTCGAAAAGCGGTCATGTCTAACGGAGTCTTGCCATTCTTGCTCTTCAGGTGCTTTGCACCCAATTTCAGCAACAATGCTGTGACCGACTCGTTATAATGATGTATGGACATATGGAGGGCCGTAAAGCCACGATGGTCCTGGGCATCAATATTTGCACCGCGGGATACGAGAAGGGTGATCGAATCATGTTGTCCAAGAAGTGTGGCTATGTGTAGCGCAGTCGTCCCATCCGATGTAGTGATATCAAGATCAATCGCGTACTCCTGATTGAGAAGATAGGCTACCGTCTCTGCCGAGCCTATTGTCGCAATATGTAAGGCTTTCGCCTGTGTGTAATTGTAGGAGCTGGAGCCGTAGTCCCAACATGTAAGACACACGGTCACTTCGAAATCCCACAGTCGTTGATTGCCGGCCATAGTAACCATTTCTTCTAAGAAAGAGGTCCACCCGTAGGCGCAAGCCCATGCGACTGGAGTCCACCCGTAGGCGTCGCTGGTACTTAGACTTAGTGCGCCTCCTCGTCTCAAGAGAATCCTTGCGCTGTCAAGGTTTCCAGCCATTATGTGGATGAGCAATGGCGATCTGTTGCCTGGCTGACTTAAGGTGTTTGGATTACATCCTTCGTCCAGTAGCGATCGCAGAATTGTGACTCTTCGCGTATTGCTCGGCTTTCGAAAGCGAGAAAAACCCCCCGTTTCAAGCAGGTGAACCACGCTTCCAGGTAGTCTTGGATTAACACGATTCCTTCTAGCAGGCAAACAAAATTCGAATGTTGGTGTTCGTGGAGAGAACGGTCTAGGTTTGGTGCTTCCGTGAAGATGCAATAAGCCAACGAGCTCCTCCCCTGTCTCGTAACGGTGGAGATCGTCAATTCGAGCTTTGTCTGTCCTCTGAAGTATCTTTTTCAATATCCTGTCGGAGGATTGGCTACGTCCATGGGTGCAAATGAGCTCAAGCGCATTGAAAGAGTTTCCCCTTGAGCCGGTTCTGGCATGAACGTCCACACCGAGTGAAAGAAGACGGCCCACTAGGTAGACAGAGTCGTGAACAACAGCCCAGTGAAGAAGCTGTAGGTCTAGCCCCGTTCCCATCAGATCTGAGTGATCTGTCGTTGCGTCGATCACAGAGCCAAAGATATTATCCAATATCATGACAAGTTCGGATTTGATTCTCGGGCTTTCGGGGACATCGCAACTGAGAAGGGTTTTCACTTCCCTGAGCGCAGAGATCCCAGACACTGTCTCGTGATTCGCCAAGCAACCCGTGTCGACTAAGATATCGACTAAAGCCGACGCCCACTGAACTCCTGACGGCGGAGGCTTAGACAAGACTTCTATCAGATGGTCGATAACCATCGACCATATGCTCCGCTGGTGTGGGCCTAATGAAAGAGGTAGCTCTGTGGAAATGAGAAGTCCGAGAACGTCCTCTTTGTAGGTAGAAAATGAGCTTGAGGATAGGTAACAGCCGACGGGGCTCTTCCACTTTAGAGAATCTTGGTAGGAATAGATAGCCAGAAGCTGCTTGACGGCATCTATATGCACGTTCGGCTGTAGATCATGCAGAGGCGTCTCATCGCCTGGAACCGGTAGAACGCCGCGGTTATGAAGTTCTTGCAGGGTTTTGGAGGACTCGATGCCTGCGATGATGGCATTTACCGAGGGGCGAGCGCTCTGTAACATGTCTTTACTTGCCTGACAGTGTTTGAGGATGATGCTGGCTTCATGATAATCCGGATGACCTGTAAAGAGGGCGTTGGCCAGTGGCGTCCGCCCATTGATGTTATCAAGTGCATGCAACGCTATTTCGCGATCTTCCTTTCCGACATGCGTCGACATCAGCACCTGAAGAATTCTTCCAGACTTACGCCCGGTTGATAGGTGCCAGATGTTGCGACCCTCTCTATCGGTGGTTGTTGCCTTGGATCCATGTTTCAAAAGGCTCACCAGGACGTCCTCGAACTCATTCTTCGTACATCTGAGCAGCAGTCTTGCCATTTTGACATTCTCACTTTCGGATCCAGAGAAGCGATCGAGCAGAAAGCTTAAGCAGTTGGCGGCCAGATTTGACATAGCGTGGTCAAGAAGGCCGTCCAGCGTGTCGTCCTGAAGTAGCAGTTGACCTCGTGGTGTTTGACCGGTTTCCTTCAAGGCGCTCAAGGAGTCGCTCTCAATAGCCTTTTTCATCCTCTCGACAAGCATGTCATCCGTCACAGCCTCAAGAGCAGGCAGTGGTACATCGATATCATGCATGTCTGCGACAACATGTCGGAATGCTGTAAGATATGCTGAAGCTTCTGCCTCTCCCTGCAAAACCATGTCTCCAAGAATCTCCAAGATGGTAGCCACATCTAATCTTGCTTGCTCCTTTTTGTACTTCGTCCACTCCCGACACCGTAATCGAAATGTGTGGATGGCGTCGTCGTGCATTTGAGCACCACCCTTGACCATCGCGGCAAAGATTCGATAGTTCCCTGCCCACTCAGACGACTTCAGCCCCAGAGCGCCCATGGAGTTCCACGAATACTGGGCTGGAAGAGGTCTTGTGCAATCAGCTCCTGCTTCGATCAACGTCTGCAAGAGCTCTATCGAAGGCTTCTCCACTGCAGAGATCCTGTCCCATGTTCTGCACGTCTTTCTGGTAGATAGATCGTGGCACGCAATCAGGAAAGGGCCGCCGAGAGCGCATTGCAATGGTGAGCCTATCCGACTCATTCGGTGCACATCAGACTGATTCGCAAGCAGAGTATCACAAAGACGGTTCAACCCTAAAAGGCAGGCCATATGTAACGGTGTGAAGTCGCCGCGTCGAATGAAATGAGCCAAACGTCTCGTCTGGCCTTCTTGCCACTTCCAGTCTGGATGTTCCCTCTGTCTCCAGAGCCAAGATCTTGATTTAAGGGCTTCGATAATTTCCTCTGATCCCGAGGACGCTGATGATCCCGAGGATTCTGATGATGAGGATTCCTCTAATCTAGAGGGTTCCTCTGACCCCGAGGATTCTGATGATGCCGAGGATTTTGATGTGCCCCAATGAGACCCGGACGGTCCTGTACATGCTTCCGTGGATTCAGAGCACAAGGAATCACTGCTGCTATACCACTCGTCTGGCCAATAGTGAGTACCCACACTCCAAGGCTTGTCTTTGAACCGATCGTTGACCCAGCCATTCCAGGAGCCTCCAAGGCGGTAGAAGTGACAGACTTCTAAGGACCATGCTTTGAAGTTCGAGGTTTGCGCGGGGTTGCAAAGTTCCATAGCTTGTTGTCTGAACTCCTCGTCGTCCCAAAGCTCGTCTGCTAGTCGGGGCCAAACCAAAGCCGCATATCGATAAAACGGTAGCCGCCTCCGCCTGTTGGACAAAAATCTGTCTTCAGAGTTCAATCTTTTAGGAAGCCGTGAGAAATGATTGAGACACAAGAAACGAAGCGCACATATACCGAGGAGGCGCCAACTTCGACATTTCGACAAACGGTATCCCGCGAACTCTGGATCAGTGGGGTCTATGTGTTCCAGAAACTCTTTGACCGTATTGTGTGCCAGCCCGAACTCTTCTCCGCGAGTTGACTTGGTCAGAAAGATGCCACATGCATCCATGATCTCATTTTCATCGACTTCAGGGTATTCCAACTCATCGGCATCCAGCCCGGGTATGCTTGCCACCGATAGCGCCTGGCAAAGCTCATGGCTCGTGAGTGGAGGGTCCGAGAACGCGGTCAACTGAAGAGCAGATTGAATCAGAGCTTTGGTTGAAGCCGGTTGTTCGTTGAAGCGCTGGAGGGTCAGCTTGTATATCCCTTCCAGATTTTGCGGAAGTGTCTTCGACATCTCGTGCAAATTTTCCGTCGTGGCGTATCGTGCGATATACTCGATGGAGCAAGATGCAAACCGGAAGCTTCTGTTTGGTCAGTTTACACTCTCCGACAGCTTAAGGTTACATCACCTACTTTGGGTTTTTAACAGGACCGAGGCTCTGAATGACATTGTCTTTCAGTCGCAAGTTGTGGAAGACTGAATTCGCCCCCATGGCCATCTTCTCAATCTCTGTGGCGGCGAACACTTCCAGCTGGTGTCTGTCGGGCTCAAATTCCTTGCAACAAAGCGATTCGCCAAAGCTGCCTTTGAGAGTGGTCTCTATTCTTTGCCGATAACGCGACACCATGGCTAATCTGACGTTGCCAGATTCTGATGCTAATGAAGCCATCAATTGCGTGACGTTATCGCCCTCGCCAGAGCACTCATCCACCCCATCAACGACACATAGGACCTGCCGAAACACTTTCGTCATAGCGAAGAAGACTGTCTTCATTCTTTCTATAGTCGGTATTTCGACTAGTCTTCGAGTTCGCAACTCGGAGTAGTATTTCCCGAGTATAGTCATTGCCGATGGGTGCTGTACGGCAATCTGGGCAAGAAGAGTGCTGAGGAAATAAAAGCATTCGTAGGATCGTGGGTCTGAGAATCGACAGAAGGCAAAGATTACCGCGGTGGCTTGATCAGAATAGTGTGTATGGATCGCGGTTTCGATGAGTGTGGCGGCAAAAGTCGTCTTCCCGGCTCCAGGGCCGCCTGTGATCCAAAGATGGGAGCTTTTGTCGCTGGAATTACCGTGGTCTATCCAGCATCGGATGGGTTCATGTTCCAGCAACTCATACTCTGTCCAGTGGGTTCGTTTGCTGACAGTCCGCGTGAGGACTTCAAGATGGTCAACCCTTGCGAAGAACGACGTCACGGTGGAGTTCTCCTTTGAGAACCTGCAACGGCCCATCACGTATCTTCTGATGACTTCTCTGCGATTTGGAGAATGTCGATCTTTCCCTTTAGAAAAGCTTTGCAGCAGCTCGTTCATGGAGTTGGAGGAGAGAGCCCTAGTAACAGCCTCTTTGTGTTGACCAATTTCTTGTATCAGGTCAACGGTCCACGCTGTCGTGAAGGGCCATCTCAGCTTTGCTCGTGGTTTGAGATCTTCCTCCCGTTTTATGACATCGTAGGTAAGCTTCCTACGGCTCAAGCTTGCCTCGAGTTTCATCAGTGTCTGTCGGCAAGAGAATAGCTGTTGCGGTAGCTTCGGCGAGCGGAGGCCATAAACATCATCAAGAACCTGATCGTGATCTTCGTCAAAGGTGGAAGCCACCAAAGTGAGTCGATGCAGTAATCCAGCCAGGTCTTGGATCTCGGTTGCAACGCGGCGGATTTCGTCACGCCTCTTGATGTCCATGAACGGGTCAATCTTGTCCTTCGCAAAATCGTATGTGCTTCGGAATGCATTGTCGGCGACGGCCACAAGCCCACGAAGGCTGTCAACGACTTCAGTTGGCTCCATGGTAGTCACAGATTCTGGCCGGCTCCAGATGACGAGCTTTCCTAAGAAAAAGCGCTATGGCGCAGGGGTCTATGTTGTATGATGTTGACTGGAGTCCGGCGAGGGAAATTTTCAACATCGACTTGTTTTTGTGAGGGGGATCGGAGCCTTGATGCCTATTCGGCAAATTCTTCTCGAGCAATCATCGCTCTGCGTGATGTGCTGACTGCATGCGTGTGTGACGTGGTGTACCTTCCCCCGCTCCTCCTGTGATACGCGGCCAATTAACGCGACAATGTCTCATTCGCGTACTTGGCCTTGCAGACCGCCAGGGTGTCAAGTAGTGCAGCTTTGACAAATGCCTCTCAATCTCAAAAGTCGATATCACGAATGGATGTGGAATTACACAACATTGAACAGTTTGGATGATATGCTTTCGCCGTGAACCTTGCCGCTGAAGGTGGTTAATTGCCTGTCGGTTGTCGCCTTGCTCGATGAAATACGTGGTCATCTTTTAACAGGCAGCAACGGAGTCTGCGTTGTCACTCTCTGGCTCGGATAGAGATGTGTTAGTTTTTTTCTAGGAATCAAAAAATCTATGTTGATGAACTTCATACACAGGGTACTATTCTCATCAGTCTCTGCCACTTTTCACCGCAACGCCTGCTAGTGTCTTCATTTATCGAGTTTGTGGATCCAAATTTTCATTCAGTCGTAATTTGATATTCTTATTTTACGTTCTTGTGCTGCAGCTCTTCGTCTTTTGATAGTTCTGGCATTTGCGTTGTGCTTGTGACTCTCAATTATGTCCTGTGCTGCAATTCTCGCAGTCTGGCTCTAATTGTTTTTGCTTACTTCTCAGTATCACACAAGGCCAAAATGACTCATGAAACTGCTTTTCGTAGAAGCTTGCAGCTTTAGAGGGCATCAGGCTTGCCAAAAGCACGCAGGAAGGGCAATGGTTTCAGCCCTAGGCCCTTGTAGGCACCAGTTCAGTCTAGCCCGGACACCCAACCAAGGACAACCTGATTCAATTGAGACGAACTGAGACGTCAAACCTCCAAATTGTTCATATAATTCTCAGAATAGACGACACCGGATATGCAGATCCGCGATTCATGGGAGATCCCTCCACGGGATCCAGGGCTCCCACGGCCTCCACGGATGCTCGAGCCGACCCAAATTTCCGGAACCCGCGCGGACAACGCGGTCGGCGGGGACCCCACCGGTGTCTTATTTCAACATCACCCTCTTCTCTTCTTTAAGGCAACTATCGCCTGGTGACACAAAGTCTATTTCAATCTAATGTGGGCTTCAGATGAACTCCCTGGACCCTGGCATGGGTAACCGAGACCGAACGTCCGAGTAAGTTGAAGGGGCTCTGGGATCCCGAGAAGGCAAATACGGTGACTTACCTATTTGGCAGAGAGATCATATCAAATCGGGGTCATAGTCTTGACCGTAAATCCCGCAGCTTTCTTGCAAGCCTACAATGAGTGCTCAGGCCCCGATCAAAGTTCTTCCTTAGACCCCCTAGATATCGGTGTTCCCGGGAATGCAGTGGCTCATGTCGCCGTTTAGAGTTTGTAATTGGCCGCCAGGTTTATTGACAGATATCGGAGACTCATGGTTTGCAAGAAAGTGTGCAGACTGCTTAGCCTTAGGCATCCTGACACCATTTGCCGAGGTTGAACTATCTATACCTTTGAACCCCGATGTTGCCATCCTTTAACGTTGGGAGGTTTGGGTATAAAGAGGATGTCCCCGCAACGACTTATCCGTATATCATCATCACTCAACCCTATCTTGCCGATACACCATATCAATAGTTCACTCTCTACAGCCATCCCTTAGCCAGTATAAGAAAATCTGTCAAAATGCAGTTCCTCAAGATCGTCTTCACCTTCGCCGCTGCCCTTGCAGTTCCGGCATCCGTAAGTATTTAGACCAAGCCCAGATCATTGTCAATAACTAACGTGTTCTATAGGCCGCCACCTGCATTCAGCTCGGAGCTTGTGCCGAGGGCAACGACATCAGACAGTGCACCTCCGGAAGTTGCCATCAGAAGCTTGGCCAGACTTGCACCATTAGCGGCAACACTGTCAGCTGCCCCAACTAAGCTATGGGCACTCGGCCATTACATTTTTTGATATAGCAGATAGAGTCTTGATTAAAATCTCAGTTTGTTTATAAAGATTTCTACCGGTGTTTGGCTTGAAATCAATGCTGTACCGTTCTTTCACTTCCGTGACTAACTGGTGACCCACTCATGGGCTCCTCACATCTCCCGCCGTTGACAACGACTAGAACTCGAACACTTCCTCTTCAACGTAAAAAGTGCTCTTCGTAGAACTGACCTTAGACGCTGCGATCCTAACATCCCGAATGAGTTGATTAGGACCACAAACGTTGACGGCTGCGTCCAGACAAGGATGCATTCTCCTCACGCCTTCTAACCATCCCAACACATCCGGACGGCCTTGCCTCAACTCTCCCGGAATGTCATGTTGATTGGGTCGGCCAGCCATTGCGTGTCCGTCCTCCCCATCATCCACCCGTGCAGCTCCTCTGCCTGTTACGTAAATCGAAATATTCAGAGTCGCAGGCACACCAGGATCGGCAGCCAACGAAGCAAGACTTCTCAACTCGTCGCCGAACCACTCAATGCTCTCGACGTCTTTGACGGCCCATAACATGTGAATATGCCACGACTTCCCTTGCAGAGCATAGGCATCGGCAGATGCTGCTCGCTTGATGAGATGAGTCGCAATGCTGATGCCGGGAGTGATGCCAATGCCGCCGGCAGCGAGAACTGTGAGCGGCTGCTCGCCCCAACAGACTCGGCCGACGCCGTACGGTCCATCCAGTCGTATGCGAAGCTTTCCCATTTTCGGTTCCATGCCTTGACACGTGGTCACGTCCTCGCTGCTCGTCTCTCCATCACCCGGGACGATACGCTGGACTTTCCTCGTGTACCCGCCCAGCCCTCTGATCGCCAGCGTCGCACCCTCATCGCTGGGTGCAGACGCGATGGTGAAGGGGTGCCAGTTGAGGAACGATACGCTTGGGATCTGGACCCAGGTGATTTGGCCCGGATGCCGCGGCTTCATCCCTTCGAACTTGATCTTGACGACGTCTCCGTGGTGATGCTGCACAGCGGTTGTGTTTATCGAGCGGAAGTTGTAGTAGAATCGGAGGAAGCGGTCGCAACCCCAGAGCAAAAGCCCGGGTAGGAGAAACTCAGGACCTTTGGTGGCGTGGATGAGGGCGCCGACAACGAAGAGGAAGAAGAGGGCGTGGGAGTAGTAAAATACCTCGAAGAATCGGCGGCGTATAATGGGGACCGAGGTGAGGGAGATGAGGACGAGGGACGCCCATGCCATGGCGCCGACTTGGATGCGCAAGTTGGAGAACGAGTCAGCAAGTTGGTCAGTAGCGATGTAGTGCTGGGTGTTCAGGGCGAAGTGGATGGTTGCGTGGACCATGGTGGCGACGCCAATCCAGCGGTGGTAGACGAGAAGAACCGGGGATGGGATCTGGGCGACGATAGAGAAGAGGTTTGTCCGTGCGGCGAGGAGGAGCGCAATGCCGCCGTTGGCGATTGCGAGCCACCCGTAGAGTTTGAAGTCGGTGGTGAACTCGTTGTCGTTTACTCCGAATAAGATGTTGAGGCCGAGAAGAACGGCGAATCTTAGGAAATTGGCGGCATGGTGGTTGGTGAGGATGGGGATGGGCGATGGGAGAGTCAACAGCTTGTGCAGAGCTACACCTAAGCGTGTGTGGCCTGACGATGATGCTTTGATGAATGGGCGGCCTGGACATGGATGTCAGTATATGTGTAACATGTCTTTCATACAGCTAGAAAGGCTTACCGCGATGTGTCAAGCTGCGAAACCGCGCAGGAAGCCGGACGATGCTCTCGAGGAAAAGAATCCCAATGACACATAGAAAGTAGGCCCTCGCTGCCAGGTATTGATCTTGGATGATAGGTTTTTCCATGTTGAGCGACTAGTGATGCTATCGCAAATAATGAGTTTACTCAAAATCAGAATAGTGAGACAATTGGTGAGTTCAATGCAACATGTATAATGGGTCAAGATGATGTTCCGATATCCTGAGGTCGTGGTTATTCTTATGCTTATGTATTATGTTGGGTCTTCAGCTGCAGGCACTTGTAATCCGCAAGCTGAATGATGGCTTTGACATGTGGCTGGTGATGAGGGATCAAAACTTCCAAAGAGTGCTGTTGGGCGTGATGATGGATCAAACTTTCCCAACACAGTTAGTGTCAGGGAGGCGCGTTTGGGTTTGGAGCATCGTCTGCAGCGCCCCGCGGCGACAGAAGCCTGGACGTAACACAATATGGCTTGCTTCTAAGTAGTGCACTGAATTCATTTACTAGTCTTAGGTACTTTGATTCGAAGGTTTAGGAAATACAGCCTCAGCGTCTGATATCATAATCAAGATATTTGGCATGGAATCTGCCTTGCCCAGGGGCCCCGTACTGGAGAGTTCCATTGGCGTACAAGAGTCTCTGTTTTGCAATCATCAGAGACCAAGGCCTACGGCTTTTCAATCCAGTTAGAGAGTTTAAAGGCGCATCTTATTATCACTCGAGTAAAGTCACAAAGCTAAGGCAAAAACTCTACTATGGAATCCACCCCTACATAAACGACTATTACGGGTCTTCTTCTTCAGTTTCGTCGATACTTCTTCGCGACAACCTGATCTCTGTCGGTTTTCATCATGTCAGTCACGCGCAAGGCGAAGATGGACGTGCGCCGTTTGGACTTGAAGGACGCAAGCCACCGCGCACTTTAAGCTTAAGCTCGGGTACCTGCTGCTAGCGCATCACCACAAATCATCAGAATTTCCTAATTAGGCAAGAGTCAAAGTTGCAAAGGATTTGGCCCGATTACACATCAACATTCATGGATGCTTGGATTTGAGGGTCCTGTCACAAAGAAGATCGAATTGATTCCAAAGAAGTCCAAGTCTTTTCGGTATATAAGCTCCGTACGTGCCCGCCTCGATAGGTAATTGCAACAATTCATCACTCAGAACACACTCAGAACACACTCACAACACACTCACAACAAAACATTCTAGCAACTTCACGCTTTCTTCACAATTAGTTTCAACCACATTTTACTCAGAACAATGTTCAGCCAAAGCACTTCAGTCCTCCTCACTGGCCTTGCCGTTTTCACTGCCCTCGTCTCCGGCCAGGGCAACGACACCATGACCCAGAAGATTGGGTGGTCCGGCAAGCTCTCCTCTCTCGACGGCGGCCTCGGCGGCACAGTGACCGTCATTGACGCCTCAACTCTCATGATCAGCGACTACACCCTCAAGGATGCCTCGGCGCCGGCGCTGTACTGGTGGGGTGCCACCGACGATGTCATCAAGAACGGCTTCCGCATCTCCAACGAGCAGGTCACCAAGGCGGCGTCCACCAACACGCTCACCATTAAGCTCGATGCTGGGAAGACGCCGGCTGATTTCTCCACTGTCGGGCTGTGGTGCGAGCGGCTCTCGGCCGACTTTGGGCAGGCGACTCTGAAGGCTTCGTCCGGGTCCGGGTCCGGGTCTTCGTCCTCCGGCGGCAGCGGCTCGAGCTCGACTTCTGGGGCCACCAGCCTGTCTGGATCTATGGGACGCTTGGCAGTTGTCACTGTCGGAGTTGTCTCGTTTGCCGCCTGGATGATTTAGGTGGCACAAGTCGTGATTGCCACGACAACAGTGTCGCCATGTTTTCAGACTGGCTGGGTAGACAATTTGCGACAAGATGATCTTTACGATGGATTTATCAGGGTTAGAGGAAGGGCAGCATGTACATATAGTAGTTGAATGATCGTGGTTTTCTGAATCTCCCAATCGCTCAGCTCCTCCGTTGCGAATTGCCTATCGACAGTCGAAATTGGAGAGATTCGTAAAAGCAACCCGCCAAGATGCTCGCCAGTGGAATCAAAAACTCGGCAATGAACAAAACCGGAAATCTAACGTCGATAGATCTGAAGCGGGCCACAGTAGTCATGGTTCGCATGGTTCGTGGGATGCTGACCCTGGATGAGGCCGCCGGGATTGCAAGATATGTATTGAATGGGTAGGAATGATTGTTCCTACTGTGCGTGCCCATAATCCCGCCTCACATTACACTGTGCAGAGATTGGAGTCAAGGCACTGTATACCCGTCATCAGGCAACCAGACTAGCTGTGCCGCACCACCACCTTCCCACCCTCCCCGCCGCCGCCCAGCTCCTCCCGTCATCCTCCCCCGCCGTTCTCAACTTCTTGCCCTCCCGGCAACACCTCAAATCTCGGGCTCTCTCCTTCAATTAACCATATTCTGCCTGCCAATCGATTCGCCAGCGGGAGTAAGAACGATTCATCACAGCATCCAGCCTGGCTTACACGCCGGCTGACCTCTCCCAAATCTCACCATGTCCCAATCCAGGCGCCAAGCTCCTCTCGGTGAGCGGCCATACAAGATCCGTAAACACATCCACCAAGGCCCGCCCTTTCCTGCGGTGCCAATACCCGCCTCGCTGCCGCCTTATTGGCCGCCTACGGACGAGCCCTTCGTTAATACGCAGCTGTACGGCGGACCAGCCATCTATGGAGACAATGCCTGGTCCCAGAGCCAGGGACTCGGGCATCTCGACCAAAGCTTTATCAAAAGTTTGCCTACAGACAGCCAACCAGGACTTGACATGTTCCAGCCTGCTTCTGCTCAGGCACCTCCGCCGGCGTTGAGCACCGTGAGCAGCGTCACCTACTCGTCCTCATCCACTTCCCAGCCATCATCGGCAGGCTCCGGGCTGTCTCCATCCCAGACTGAGCTTCCATTTGAGTGGCCGGCTCCAACGTCAGCTTCGCAATCCCGCGTTCCATCGCCTGCTGAGCGGACAGTAGAGCGTGCCGAAAGCCGATTCGTCTGTCTCGGCCCGCACTGCGATGAGGCTTTCGACCGGGAGCAGGAGCTAAAGAGCCACTTCAAAGCGGTCCACACACACATTTGCAACTGGGGAGGCTGCGAGCAGCCGGCGTTCTCCTCCAAGGAAGGATTGACCTGGCACGTCAAGTTAGAGCACCTTCTCGTCTGCCCTGCGCCAGGATGTACCGAGAGCTCCTTCCAGAGCAAGAGAATCTTGGAGTGCCACATCAGATGTGCACATCCTGACGCCAATGAAGGCAATGGGAAGGCCGTCGAGTCAGTCCCGAAGCCGATGGTACCTGTCATGACCGTTGAAAAGTCCGCCGAACAACCATCCACCAACACGGCTCCAAATCCAAAGGATGCCATGGAGGACAAGGCGACTAGGCAAAGCCTGTCCGTCACGATCGCCAAGAAGAAATGTCGAGAACAGCTGCGAGCAGCTGTGGAAAAGAAGCATAAAAGGCAGAACGGTACGTAACGCCGACACCCAAGACGCTCGTCTGACCTTCGTAGGACAAGCACCTCGCGCGGCCGATAGTCCCAGTGACTCGTCACGAGCGGTAATCTCCCGCCTAATCGAGAGCGCCAGCTTTCCAATGGTTTGGGAGCATGGCGTTCTACCCTTTCTGGTCGAGTTCCTCCCAAAGTGGTGCGGCCCGAACCACGTCGTCAGCGTCACCCGCGGCAAGACTCCCGGCTCCCGTCGCGTCTGTATAATGACTAAGAAGCAACCATCACGAGCACGACGGATTATCATCACAGCCCACGTGAAAGATCTTCTGCCTGAGATCTACCGCCCTACAATATCTTTCGAATTCTCCATCGGCGACGTGGAACGCCTAGTCTGGGCCAGAGGGTTGAGCAAGGACATGCCGGACGACATCTGCATGGCCCGGAACCCATATTACTTCAAGGACCCATGTATGGGCGACAGCATCGGCATCGCAGGGACAGACGCCTTCGAGGAGAGTACCTCAACTCTGGGGCCGTGTCTAGTCATCGGCGGAGGAAACTACTGGCTGGCCAACTTCCATCCCTTCGTCGACGCGTACCAACACCTAAGCGAAGTCAGCGTGCAACACCCTTCACCGAGCGACCGATCCCGCTGCATCGAGGAACGCCACGATACCATGGACGAATCCAAAGACTTCACCATCGGTAAACTGACGGCAACATCAGGGATCGACCTCAAGACAACCCGCATCTCCCATGACCCTTTTTGGGAAGACTGCGGGAAAGAACAGCCTTTGATCGTGACGGACTGGATCCTGATCGCTGCAAAGACCAAGCAAGCCAATATTCTTCGCCGGTTCCCCTCAGAGACAATGCCCCTCCTGAAAGAAATACCCATCAAGACCACTTCGGCCATTGTGCCAGGCGGGTCAGTTTTATGCACGGGCCGAACATCCGGGCAACAGCGTGGACAAGTCTGCGAGGTACCCGCCTACGTCAGGGGAGAGGACAACGTTACAGGCAAGGCTACACGCGAATGGTTCATCGAAGACCCGGACGATGACGAGGAAGCATGGATTCGCGGCGGCATCGGCGTTGAAGGCGACAGCGGTGCCGCAGTAGTCGACGCAGACACCAACGCCCTTGTGGGCCAACTCTGGGGACGGAACAAGTACTTCGGGGCCGGCCCCCGCGTGACCTACTTCACCCCTGTCAGCGACCTCTTCGACGATATCCAAGAACGGTGCGACCAGCAAGGCCGGCCCCAACTGCCGCAGTACCGGGACGAGTCGGACTGCTACCCAGTCTACCCGAGCTGCCGACAGTGCTACGACCTGCGCACCTACCTCGACAGCAGACGCAGCTCACGCGAATCGCTCCGCTCCATGATCGGCCGACTCCAGAGCGACCACGGCGAACTACCCTCGCTCGGCGGCACGTCAGAGCTTGCGACGCCACAGGACCACGTTCTCTGGTCCCGGCACACTGGGGTCGAGGAAGTCGGGTCATCGTTCTCCAGCAGCATATCTCCCGCCGCAGTCCATACCTTCGGCTTCACCCCGCAGCCAGGGACGCCCAGTATCGTAGACGTCAAGAGCCCGTACGCCCTAACGCTCAGCGCGGAGGATCTGTATGACGACGAGGTCTTCACATCAACGGCCACCGGCAAACGGTCAGCTGCAGTGATGCCGCGCGGTTCGGTCCCGGGTGCCAAGAGGCAAAGATTACATTAGCCGTGGTTCTGTACATTAGCTGTAGCTCTGTTGCCAATAGCCCCTTATCCAGGCAGCCCCCCTCGTCCCATCTTCCTCGCGCGCTGGTCGCGACGGTTGTGATTCGCTCTGGAGCCCTTGCTGGCTTCCTTCCTCCTCCGCGCTGCCTCCGTGTCCTTGTCTCCAGTCGGACCTGCCACATTTCCTCCACGCCCGCCGCCTCTGCCACGACCCCGACCACCACCACGGCCGCGCCCACCTCTCCCACCTCTTGACGAGCCGCCGGCTCCATCCTGCTCCGACTCCTCGGCACCAGATCCCGCAGGACTGGCCCTCCACGCCGTGGACCGCAACTCCGTCTGCGCGCCGGTAAACGCCGCGGCGCCGCTGTACTTCGCCTCCAACCTCCTCTTCTGCGCCGGGTTCCTCGCGAGCATAACCGCCCACCCCTCAATAGCCTCATCCGTCATGCCCGTCTCCTCTCTCAGCCTCGCCCTCGGCTGTCCCCTCCGCGTCGCAGCCTGGCGGTCAAACACAGTCGGATCCGCCTGGAACGCCTTGAACAGCGTCTCCTCGCTGGCATCGTTCTGCCCGTCGGCCTCCTCATTGGCGCCGGCGTCGACGGTGCCGCCGACGTCGTCTGCGTCGTAGGTGTCGTCGCGCTCGTCGTCGTCCGAGTCGAAGGCCGCGAGGGCCGAGAGGATGGCGGCCTTGTTGGGCGCGGTGGAGCGGTCTTTGAGCACGTCGTCGGCTGTCTTTTCGGGGTTTCGCTTGCCGAAGTGGAGTTTGGAGACGTCTAGGTCTAGTCGGTCTAGTTCGTCGTCGTCGAAGACGTTGTGGCGTTGGGGGAGTTGTGGTGGTGTGGGTCGAGGTGCGATGTCGTGGCTGAAGCGCCGCTCGATCTTGGGTGATCTGTCTTGTGTTAGTAGGTCCGTAGAGTGAGGAAAATGGCACATACAGTTGCTCGCCACGGTTCAAGTCTCTGAGATGTGGCGGCAGATCATCCTCCAACAGATGCGACGTGACAACCTCCGTGTCATCTCCAAACTCATCAAATAGCTTCGACACAAACGCGGACCCCAAATCGGGGAACAGGTCTTGGATGAGCGCGATCTGGCTTTGCCTGTGAATATGCAACTCGGCCTGCACATCCCCCGCGTCAACGACCCCCTTGCCCTTGTCGACCTTCCTCTTCACGAGCCTCTTGGGCCTCATGAAACCCCCACCAGGCTTCTTGAACCCTTCCAGCGCTGAGATCCTCGTCTTTAGCGCCGTCGACGCCGCACCCTTTTCCTCCGCCCGCTTGAGCAGCTGCTTCAGTACCGGTGTGACTGTTACTAGCTCCGCGACAAGGGAGTCGTTGACGTTGAGCGGTCCGGCCTTATGCGTCTCCGCCGCGGACTTGAGGGAGAAGAGAACGTCGGCGAGCATGCCGAACCGCGGCGTCTCGCCCTCTTTGAGCCCGATGAGACATAGGTACATCGTTGTGATGAGAACCTTTCGCAATGGCGGGTTCGTGATTTTGAATGCAGACACCAGACCGTCTGAGAAATCTGACCCGGCGAGGAAGAACGCCGCCGCGTCAGGGGATGCGTGCAGCAGGTGGTTCAGCCCGGCCAGCCTGCTCTCGAGCGATTTGAGGTCGGCCTTCATCCCTGCTTCCAGGGACTGCGTGAGCGACTTCTTCAAACCCGCAAGCGACGTCTCAAAGGCCGCGGCGTGCGCCTTCCATGCTTTCGTGAGGACAGATGGCGCATTTTTCCGGAAGAGCTTGCTGAAGCTGGCGAGAAAGGTGGGTGTCGTGAGAGGTATCGGCGGGGGCGATGAGAGCGTGAGAAGGCGGGCTGTGAGGGTGAACGCCGTTCTGAGAAGCACCTTTGCTGGCGGGGATGAGCCTATTGTCGCGGCTGGGCTGGCCTCTGCGACCTCTGTGATAAACGTCGAGAGGAAGGCTGGGAGGGAGTCGTCTTTCGAGACTGCTTTTGAAAGTTGAGCGTCGGTCTGGGCGAGGTATGCCTGTGAGAGCGTCGTCCAGGCGTCGATGAGGGCATTCCAGTCCTGCGGGGTGAGATGAGAGCGCCATGTGGATGAGGGGAACGGGGCGAAAGGTGGGAGAGTCGCCATTTTGGTGTTCGTTCCTCGCTGTTGGCGGAGATTGTTGATTGTAGGGAGGGAGGGAGGGAGGGTAAGAGAGGTGCTCTGCGCGAGAGCGGTCGTCGTGTATCTTATTGCATGCGGCTTAGCTGAGCTGTCATGTCGTTCGCCGGATGATTCATGGTCGATGCAAGACCCCACGGTGCCAGCTTCCCGGCTGGAGCTTGATGCGGAAGTGGGTCCAGTCAGTACGTACACATCCCACCTCGCGCTACTCCCAAATAGGCCTAGCGCCTTTTCGGTAAAGCCCTACAACTTTCCCCCACGAAAAAGTTCGCGATCTCAATTTTCGCAGCCTCTCCTTCAAGCTTCTTTTCGAGCCCAACCAGCCTTCATCACTTTGCCGCAACCAACGTTCGAGTCGTGAAGGACCATTCTCGCCCAATCCTCCTCAATCAACCAACCCCCAGAACCAACCGTTCAATCCCGCAAAAATGTCTTACAACAAGGACAAGGACTTCGGCGAGGCGCCCAAGACGCACAAGATCCGCATCACCCTCTCCTCCCGCAAGGTCCAGTCCCTCGAGAAGGTCTCTGCCGAGCTCATCGAGCGCGCCAAGTCCAAGGACCTCCGCGTCTCCGGCCCCGTCCGCCTGCCCACCAAGACCCTCAAGATCACCACCCGCAAGACCCCTTGCGGTGAGGGTTCCAAGACCTGGGACTGCTTCGAGATGCGCATCCACAAGCGCCTCATTGAGTACGTTTTTTTCCCCTGCGCGAGCGCGCGCGTCCCATTTTGGAAGTGAGGAATTCTTTTGCTGACCCCATTTCAGCCTCAACGCCCCCACCGAGATCGTCAAGCAGATCATCGTCAACATCGAGGCTGGTGTCGAGGTCGAGGTCACCATCGCCGCCTAAGTTTTCCTCCTAAAAAAGGAACACGCCGCGGATCGGGACCGAGAAGGGACTTGTTGTAAGAGGGACGAACAGTATGGGCTTTGGCTTGGGAATGCTGCGCCGCTGTGCGTGAGGATGCCGAAAGGCTCTTGCGCCAGACGGCTGCGGCGGGCCGAGTTTGGAGGTCTAGATACCACCCAAATAAAACAATGACCCCAATTTGAGTATCGCTGTGATGTGTGGTGTTGCCGTGCAAGGCCGTGATTCTATCGGCGCGGTCCGGGTCCCAGGCAATGCCTGGAGACGGGTGCAGTGCTGCCGGTGTTTAAACGCCCGGTCAAATACCTCTCTATCCACTAACTTTTTATGATTATCCTATGGTATTGATATAACGCCCTGCAATGCTGGTTCCTTTGCATGGAAAGTACAAGGCGGCACGCGTTCCTTTCCTGCCGATCTTGGCATCCTGTTGGCCAAGTTAAATATCCCAAAGGCAAAACTCCCTCTTTGGAGGCAACTCGGGCATGAGTCCCCCTTCAAACTGGCCCTTCTGAGTGAAAGCCTGCCACTGCGACTTCGACTTTTCATCATATGCCTCGTCAGGAAGCTCCGTGTCCTTGTTGTAATTCGGCGGCCCGTCGGGGAACCAGACTCGCTTCCACCCTCCGTCTAACGCGCGCACCCCGGGAAGATTATTCTGGTACACGACAGGTTTGCCCTTGAACATTGATAGCCTCCCGTCCATTCCCTTCGAACTGTAGCTTGACACGGGAGGATGCTGCTTAGAGCTACCCGGAGGGTATGGCCCGCTTGCAGATGCTGCTTGTTGTTGTGCAGCTGGAGCAGCGGGCTGTGTACCAAATGGGTTTGCCTGCGCTGCTCCCCCAAGTCCAGTTGGCTGACCGAAGGCAGGCTTGGCTTGTCCGAAGGGATTGGCGGCTGCTTGTGGTTGAGAAGGTTGACCAAAGGCGCTCGTTGGTTGAGTTGGCTGTGCGTCCATGCCGCCACTTGCTGGCGCATCTTGTTTCGCGCCAAATGGGTTAGAAGCCGCCGGCGTCTGCGATGGTTGTCCGAACGGGTTGGCAGCCGCCGGTTGAGAGGTTTGGGACGGTTGACCAAAGGGACTGGCCGCCGCTCCGGGCTGAGATGGCTGGCCAAACGCGCTTTGCGTTGGCTGCGATGGTGCCCCAAAAGGACTCGCATTTTGAGTCGCATTCTGCGCCGGTTGTCCGAAAGGGCTGCTCGCGTTATTGGTGTTCGCCGCCGCCTGTCCAAACGGACTGGCATTGGTAGTACTCCCACTGGCACTACCAAACGCGCCGCCGCCTCCGAAAGGATTCGCTTTCTGCCCCAGTGCGCTTGCCTGGCCAAAGGCGCTTCCCCCACCTCCAAGCGCGGATGGTTGTCCGAACGCGCTGCCGGAAGCCCCAGGCTGTGAAGGTTGGCCGAATGCGCTGCCGGAAGCCCCAGGCTGTGAAGGTTGGCCGAATGCGCTGCCGGAAGCCCCAGGCTGTGACGGTTGACCGAATGCGCTACCAGATGCGGCAGGCTGTGAAGGTTGACCGAACGCGCTGGTAGTTGTCCCGCTAGACTGGGCAGGCTGTCCAAAAGCACCACCACTTCCAAACGGATTTGGCTTCTGACCAAGCGCTGATGCTTGACCAAACGCTGACGTCCCTCCACCGAGAGCACTAGGCTGTCCAAAAGCCGATGAAGGCTGCGACGGCTGGCCAAATGCTGGGGTTGAGCTCTGCGCGCCGCTGCCAAAGGCTGACGTTGGCTGAGAGGGTTGACCGAATGCCGGTGTTGAGGATGCTTGGCCGAAAGCTGATGTCGGTTGCGAAGGCTGGCCAAAGGCAGGTGCGGCGGCTCCACCACCAAACGGGTTGGGCTTCTGCCCAAGAGCGGATGCTTGACCAAAGGCACTACCTGTCGTCGAAGGTCCGCTGCCGAAAGCTGATGATTGTTGACCACCAGAAGAGAAAGGATTCGCGGACGCTCCGGAAGATGCCCCAGACCCGAAGGGGTTCGCCTGGCCGAGCGAACCGGTTGCCCTCTTGCCAACCGCAAACTCTCCCGTCGTTCCGCCTGGTAACGTTCCTTGTTTGCAGATATCGACTCGATTCGGGTGTTTCTGCTCGGCAGAGATGAGGAATTGGATCGCGCCGTCCAGATTTCCGACCGCGGTCTTCATCTGCTGCTGTGCTTGCTGGTACAGCTCTTGCGCTTGATTGAGCTGCCTATTGTCAGCCGCCCGCCGGCGAGACACGAATCGTGGTTCCTACCGCTTGTTGTGGGTTGCCCGAGGCCGTCGCCATGACATGGTGAAGTCTCATCTCCTCAAAGCTCTGCTCGCGCATCGGTCCGCCGAACAGCTGCTCCGGGGCGTCCCTTCCCGGTCCGTACGCTGACAGGATCCATTGCGGTTGTTCAGAGGTCAGGTCCTTCTCGATCGTTTCCTTCGATAGCATGTACGGTAGGGCTGCGCGACTGTGAGTATGTAGTGTCGCCTTTGGGTAAGAATGATGCACGAACTGTCATTTCCGCCGCGATTGAACCCCCCTCCGGAGTTCCCGCCAAAAGCTGCAAACCGGTTGTTCGACTGGCCTCGGGGATGTTCGAATCGACAATTATCTGGGTTCGCCAATGTCAGCGTGCTGGCTCTGCACGTGTTTGGCCCATGGTTGGGTTTGTTTTGGCTGGCCGATCGATGCGACCGGGGATGCGCGACGTACTTCCATACCTGCAGTTCCCCTGCTCGTAGAACTTGCAGACCACCATTTTGGGTATCGCGATCGAATCTGCTGCGCTTTTCGGTGCGTTTTGGCAGCGGCTATGTCATTTCGCTGGGATTGAGGGACGTCTAAATGAAATTGGACCAAAAATGATGGGCAAAAATGCTGTCAACGGTCACCCGATCGCGTGGATTGGGCGTCGAAAGAATTGTTTTCAGCCTTTCGCAGCCTTGTTCGCGGCTGGCTCTAGCGCGTTCGACCGGGCCAATGAGAGAGCTCCGACACGCTTGTGCTGTGCATAGGTACCGGTGAGCTGCATATTACGTGCATAACACTTTGATGCACTTATGCGACAATTGTGCTAATTCCCCCCGCCGTCCGCTATCCGGCCCGGCCTTCGAGATCGACTCGTCCGACTTGGCGTATGAATCCGTCGACGTCTGCTCCAAGGCATCTTGATCACCACGCCTCCTTGCCCATTGGCAAGGTCAATAGTATCAAAAAAAAAAACTCCAGAGTAAATTTCAGTCACTTACGAATCGTCTTACCGCTATACAGAATCCGAGTGTTTACGACTTCAGACTACCTGATGAAAGCCTTGAAGGCACTCTCTTGTTCTTTAAGTAACCCGGACGGTTTAGTTGTCTAGCCACATTGATTACCAATCTGGGGCAGACAGTCCTGATTTCTGTCTCCAACGCCCAAATGATGGGGCAAAATCAGGATCTTGCGGCCGCAAAGTCCTCGGTCTGCGCGACCTTGAACTTTGCGATCCAGCCGGATACTTCAAGTTATCTAAGCGGATACCCACGTTTCGGGGAAAAGAACTATTTGATCAGCTAGATCTACTGCACTGCTTGCTCCGCGTAATTGACCTGCGAAGTGGAGCAGACCCTGACAGTGCCTGAATCCCGCCGTTTCGGTTAAACATCAACGAGCGGGGAAAGTGTGAAGCTCAGCCCGCTCATGACATTGACATGGATGGTTTAGCTGCTCTCTAATGGGATGCTAACTCCAGCTTCTCAAACACCGGGTGGCGTCACGAATTCCAATCCTCCAGCGTCTTGATTCCATCCCTTCTACGTTCTTACTGTCACTCTCTCGAGAATTGAGAAACTTGCAATCAGAATTTACGATGGCTGATCAGGCAAAATGAAGTTGCTTCGGCCATTGTGACAGATCAGGCTGCAGAGATGGTGACAGGGTATCGAATCCATTTCTTACGCCTGTGTCGTGCCAGTCGCCCGGCAGCGCCGGTGCAACATATGAAGGCTGGGGTATCGGGATTGCTGGCTGACTGCCGTCACTTCCACATGTGGTATGGAATATTGCAAGCATCAAGAGGACTTTCGACCCCATTCACACTCGGCTCAAACCTTATCACAAAGCAAATCTTACGGCTCAAGAGTAGAGCTTCGCCATAATTGGGAATAGTACCTTCCACGTATCGTTTGCACCATTGAAATGATTGTTTAGTAGGATTTCCACCTTCGGCCCGACCGGAGAGACATGGCAGCTTTCTTGATAGTACCTTATGGTAATTTACGATGATTTCTTGTGAAACATAACATATTTCGGATGAGTCTTGAAAACCTTGGACTATCCGGGCGAATAGCGGTAACAGAATTATAGCAGTAATGAGTTCGTCGACAATTAAAACTATGTCAGTGATAATTAAGGGAAAATGAGCATAGGGATAACAATATAGGCAATCCACTTTTCGTGATTGTTCAAAAGTAGTTATCCCTTAAATCAGCCGAACCTCATTCAAAATCTACTGGTTTCTGCCTCTAAGTTGACCTAATCTCTTGAATCGGTCGAGTCTGCCCAAAAGATCTACAAGAGGTGAGGAGGTGAGAATCAGGCTGCAGCAGGCGGCACGCGTGGGACTAACCGCATCGGCGACAAAAGACCACCTCAACTGCGGTCGATTCCTGCATGTTGGAACACAAGATCTATAATTACAAATCCTGTTTGACCAATGAATAGTCCCAAGCTGAACAGCGGAGATTCACAAATTTCAGCTGTCTTTGAAGGATCGCATGGATGCAGACTCTGCAGCCTGCTTAAGCCAGAAGATTCACTGTCGAATAAATAGCGTTAAAAATCCCGCAAATTAGTCGGCTGAGATTCTCATTTTCTCAACCTTGGGTGCACGCATGCATGAGCATTTGGCGCGATGTCTGTCTACCTGCCCGTCCCCACGTCCGTTGACGTCCCTATCGATGAATCCCGAGATTCCGCTTCACTCAACTCTAAATCTCAGTTGCTAAGCCACGAGGAAACCATGCATGCCTGCTCGCCGTTGCAGCAATACGAGCTTCAACATCTACCGCCAACAAAAAACGGTACTCATGCTATTAGCAGGAAGCCATTGCCGACTTCTTCAACGCTACAGCATTCAACGACGCTTAACGGAGCAGGCCCGAGTCACGCCACCTCAGAGCCGAATGAGAACAATCAACCCACCCAGAACGAGACAAGAAGAATATCGCACGACGAAATTGGGAGACTACGCCGCGACATTGAAAGTGACCAGGGTCGTCAGACGGACTCAGAATCATTCATACAGGCGGCACAACAGGACGAGAACTTGTCTGAGCATGGCATTCGTCCTTCCCCTTCCGCACGAAGTAATGCAGATGTACCCCCGGACGCTCGAAGAGCAAGGCCTGGATCCTCTTTCGTACATCGTCTCTGGTTATGGGAGATTGCTGCCTCTGCTCTCAGCCTTGCCTGCATGGCATCCATCATTGGCGTCCTATCTTACGAACAGGGGCGAAGACTTGACCAATGGGGGCTGGGCAAAGGATCCCTCACTCCCACTGTCGTCGTATCATTTCTGGGAACTCTCGCAAAGTCTGCTTGTCTTCTGGTCCTTACCGAGGTTATATCGCAATTGAAATGGCTTCACTTCCAGAACAGGTCGCAGAAGCTGAGTGACCTACAGCTATTTGACAACGCCTCTCGTGGCCCTTGGGGAGCATTTCAATTGGCATCAATTCGAAACCGGAAGACTATGCTTGCTTCGTTTGCGTCCATCTTGGTGGTTTTATCCTTGCTGGTTGACCCATTCATCCAGTCAGTCTTTTCGCAGCCTGTCATTCTCACACCAGTGAAAGGCGTTAGCCCCGGTATCCTGGAGACTCGAGTCTACGATCCTTCGTCCCTCAATGCTAGATTCGGGCAGTGCTATGGCGCTGCGAGTGTTCAGTCCGAGATGCAAGCAGCAATATTGGCACCTATTTGGAATGCCACTCCAGCTCCATCGCTGCCTTGCAGTTTCGAGCGATGCAACTGGCCAACACTAACCACATTGGGTGTCTGTAGTAGCTGTGAAGATCTCACAGATACAGTGGTCCCAACTTGCGTCGTCAACCCAGACGAGACATTCAAGTTGATTGACTGTAACTATACGGTACCTTCCCAAGACGCCACCTTCAATGCGGTGTTCGGCATAACAGGCGGGGCCTCTGTCAGAACCCCTTACTCTACAATTTGGAATTCAATTGCCGGGGATCAGTGGCAGACCACTCTGGATGATGCGTGGAATTATCGCATAGTACCCAGCTTTACTGAGTCACGACGAGCTGTCCTCAGTAACTTCACATTTGTGAAGTTCCCCCCCAACACAACGGCTTACGACTATGTCAATGCTGATGACACACTGCGGGAAATCCCTCCAGTTTCACAGGCAATGCACTGTACGTTAGAGCTCTGCGCCAGAACGTTTACAACGCCTTACTACGCCAACTTTAGTGCAGCACCGCTAGTCGGGCCTCGCACGGCACTGGTGACGGCCAGAGACGGTACTACCGAGGGCAATGCCGCTAGTGCATTTATTGGGTTGGAGCCGGCCAGTCTAGGTCAACTGCCCGAAGAGACAAAGTTCAGGATTAACTACTGCAACTACAAAGACATCGCTAAATACCTGGTGGACCTATTTACAACGTCCATGAGCACTACTGGAGTGGTTGGAACAACCAACGACAGCTCTACATCTGGGACCAACCAACAGATTCGTCAACGTATTACGCCAGGACTAGGTCTGGCATTTAGTCAGTTCGACAACATCGCAGAGCTCATGGATGACGTTGCGGACAGCATGACGGAGGCGTTCCGAACGTCGGCCAATAACACAGTCCTCGACGGCCGGGCGATGAGCAGTGTCACGTACATTGAGATCACCTGGCCACCACTGATTCTCCCTGTCAGTTTAGTTCTCATGACATTTACGATGCTCATAGTCATGATCATCCGCAACAATCAGCGCGGGATGCCTATATGGAAGAGCTCGAGTTTGGCGTTGTTGTTCCATGAGCTTTCAGGCTGGGATGGCTCTAAAACTGCCGCCACGGGTCCTGAGGAAGTGGAAGAGCAGGCGAAGAGCATGCGCACAAGGGTTACGAATGGTGGCGGAAAGCTGTTGTTCTCTAAGGCAGAGTGAATGGTGGAGAATGCAAAAGATTGATGAAGCAAGAGTTCGGCTTTTTGATCCGTTTGTATCTCCTCGACCCGTAAAGATTGATATTTTAATGTTCTCTGATTGAAGGTGTGCCTTACCTGACCAAGTTCTGGAGATTGACATGGTGTGGACTAGTAGTACTACCATCAATGGGGTTAGTTCTTATCTACGTTGTTCGCGAGGAAGAAATAAAGGTAATGGAAACTAAACATTGAAGAACCGAACTTGAAAGACTAAAAGGCAAACAGCGCAACCGCCCTATTCCTCTAACAGAACTCCCGCGTCCAGTACCTCATGCCCCACGCAAAGATATCAATTTAATGACCCCGACGTCCCACAACGTAATGTTAGACCCCAAATCCAAATTCCTGAGCCACCCATGACCAGAATCAACAAGCACTTTTCATGATTACTTGCGTCTCCTGTTCAATGCGGGCTTTCCGCGAGAGAACTTGATTTTCTTTTTGCCGAGGAGGGGTTTGCCTGCACCAACATGCGTCATAGGAGGGCGGGGTCTACCCATTTGCTCGTTGACCGTTGAATGATTCCGAGTAACGGCGGCAAGTGTCGTGGAGAGAACAAACAGCCCATTCAGAACAAGTGCGGTAACTGAAACCCCCTTCAGGTGGTGGCCCTGAGAATAGACAATGTCCCCATGTGTCAGTTTCAAAGTTGAGGTCAACTCCTCATCGTTATTGAGCAAAGCCCAGGTTCCTTGGGTGGTGAAAAATGTAGCACCGATGGACATGAGACCAAAGCCCATGCAAAGTCCGGCACAAGCCATGGTCCACATGCACACGGTGCGTCTCGACCCCGCAAGATAGAAGAAGAGGGGAAAGATGGCAAATAAACCTGCAGCCAGTACCAAGAAGAACGCTGCCCACGCCAAGCCAGGAGTGAGAATCTTTTCTTTAATATCTCGCGCGGCAAGGAGAAGCTTTTGAAGCATGGTGGTGTCGAGGGTTGTGTCATCTTCCAAGTCCAGTTCGTCACGGAAATGTTTCAAGACTTTCGCCCCATAATTGGAACTGTCGGCGCTTTCGCTGTCATCGTCGGGGAAGAAGTAGACTCCGTTGCACTTGCTGATTGCCCCAGAGTCGGAGTCTGTCTGGACTTGGGCAGAACTGTATACACATATACCTGATGAAGGTTGTCAGTCACACCAGTTACTCTGAGCGAGCGCCCTACAAGGACTCACCAGAATATCCTAAAGTCACATTCATCTGTGAACCCTCTGTGCTTAAACCAACGACGTAGGAATTCTTAAAGAAGGTTCCGGACGCCGAAGAACCCCATAGTAGCAATCCTATTGCCAAGTTAGCTGAGCTGCGAGACAAACATAGTTGGTCGGTGAATTTCTAACCATGAGCAATGACTGCGCCGGCCCACAGCAGGTAGGTTACACTGCCAAAAAAGAGTCTGTGACGCGTTTTGGATCCTCGATACATCTCGTGTTGATGACAATGGTCAATGATAGGTTATTGATGAAAAATAATAGACGCGTGGGAAAATGAAAGACTATTAAGATCAGGAGCTGTGCGGAAGATGACTTTGATTTATTGAGGCCTTGGGAACCGATGCTGATCAACAGTGTAAGTGCAGAAGTCCGCCAAAGAAATTGTGATGCTTTTGTATGTCAACAGCTTCCCCTTTGACGAGACTATGGAGGACCAGGCAACCAATAGCGTGCGTGGTAGACTCGTCGCATAGCATGCCGCCTCGGTAGTTGGCAGATCTATCTTTATCAGATGTGGCTTTTTTTCTCAGCCCAGCCTGACTGCAGCGAGGCAGAGATCATGTAAGCCTTCACAGTGGCTGAGACGAAGACCACATCGTCTTGGCGCCCAACAGTCGGCATATCTGCTTCCTGCAGCCTTGAGATGGAAGTTTGCAGAATACACTATTGGGGGCCAGAATCTCCCTAGGACTGAGTAGATAATTTATTGCATGACTAAGGGCCGCACTGCTACATCAGCTTCGTATCAATGGCCACTACTTTGCCGCTTAGACATGAGCGTAGTTGCGCACTATCACATGCTGCCGCCTGCGGCATTGAGAGGCAAGACATACAAAGGTGAACGCCTTTGAAACTAAGACAGGACGGCATTCAACCTAGGAGTCTCTGTCTAACACTAGGTATCCAACACAGCACTTGTCCAACAGGCCGAAGATACAAGCTTCATGATAATTTACGATAGCAGATGACAAAGCGGGCCAACTCATTGGCCCAGAAAATCAAGAACAGAGCAGGCAGAAAGCAAATGCCGGCTGCAGTCAGCGCCAAGGTAAATGGAACAAACTTAGAAATGATGTTGATGTATGTGTGGTGGCCGGGGAAGGTGTCATGTCCCGTCTGCAATGCAGTCAGCACAACCGTAGCCGCGCCGAAGACAAATAGGTAGGGTGCTCCGAAACGCGCGAAGAAGGTGGCGTAGTTGTGGTGAACCTTCTGATAGGACTTCAGCCGAATTACTCTATGCCACAGATTGAGTCGCGTGAGCCGGATCTCCCCATAATGATACCGTGGAGAGACATCCCTATCCCGCAGCGTGGTAAACCCTCGAATGAAGAGACACCACATGTCCCAGTCGACGAAATCGGGCAGAAGTTTCTGCTTCTTTGCGATTTCAAAGTCTGATTCGTGAACAATGAGTGAGGAGTATGTCCGAAGGAAGCCGAGCGCGTCGAGCATCAGCCGATGACCATCTTGGTCCTGAGCCTTATCGATAGCCGCCGCCCAAACACCATAACTGAAGAGAAATTTTGGGATTGGTTTGATGAATATTCGGTCGTAGTACCATACCAGATGCAAATCTGGACGCTCGGTGATGCAGATGCGCCGGCTGTTGAGGAGTTGATGGTGTAGCGGGTTGATGTTGTGCCGGTTTGATACCAGGAATAGCATCCAGTACAGCCGTCTCAGCCTTTCCGTGGAAAGTTCTCGAATGAGAAAGTTCTTTACTTCCTGATCGTTGTCTATCGGCATTGTAGGGTAGCCCGGTACAGAGCTCTGGAGCTGAACCAGCTGACTCTGCTCATCGAACGGGATGGTGACAGTCTCCTCGACGATGGACCCCATCTTGACCAGATTTGGCGTTTCTGCTGATGATTCGAACTGGAAAGATTGAACAAATCCGCGGGTTTCATGCAGAAGAATGCAGCTGAATAGCGTTTTAACCTGTCTCGAACGGGGCTGACTCGAAAACCGTAAGCTCATGCCCAGATGAATGAAAGCGTGATCTGTGGTGCAACCCTGCGAAGCTGAATAGCCTTATCGGGCCGCCCGACAATTCTAAAAACTTGATGCAGGCATACCTGACGATGCTCCTTCGACATGATGCATCGTATGATGAAGCATCTTGTCACATGAATACCGAGCCTCTTAACAGGCAAGCGCTAGGACGCCATTGCGAAAAAAGCCACTCAGCAGCCACGGGCCGTCGCTTGCACCCACAAGAGATGCCACCGGTCACCAAAATCATGAGGGTCTGGAGAAGGCTGGCCAGTGAGAAGGGAAGTGCTTAGTGACGACCTGACCTCGACTTGACCTGTGCGGGAAAATGCAAGTTTGACATGTGTGGGTGTGAGAGCGCATGTCAGAGGCGCACGAGGTGGTATTGCATGAAAATGCATGTGTGGTGTGGGGGCTCTCACAACTTTGGGGTACTCGAGCTCGATGTACCTTTTGTTTTCTCATGAGGCAACAGGAGTGCACCGATCAAGCTTCAGCAAGCGCCAAGACAGTCAGCCCTGGGCGATGTGTTGCTCCAGCCCCAAATTTGTGGAAGTGTAAGCCGCCGCTTCAAGAGCCTGATCGTGAAAGCAAATGTGCTCAATGATGTCGAAGCCATGATACCCTTAATAACATGCAGGCAAGCCAAGGGGCTGACCGCAAGAAGTCTGCGTTTTAATCACTTGAATAATTCATGTTCTAATATTTTCCTCCATCTGTATCGTTTACGAATCACTACGAGTGTCTAGGATTGCGATTGAGATCTTGTGTTTTCGAAGACTTCAAGCCAACATGGAGAAGCCGTCGAGCGACCAACCCCGACAAACACAACCAAAGGCGTCAAGTGGAATTGAAAGTCTCATCAGGATACCTGAAATCAAGCGACAGGACCTTGGACTCAAGGTTCTGTATGAGAATCAAGACGTAGACGAGATTGAGGTTGAGTGAGTCTTGTCTCCCGAACTATGAATTAAGACCTAAGCTTTTGATGATGGCCACTAACTCACATGCCAACAGCATCGTGGCTGTCCATGGTATCATGGCCGACCCTAATACGACCTGGACCCATAAGAAAACCAACACCAATTGGCTTTCTGACCCATCAATGCTCCCAGAATCATTGAAAGGCCACAAAGCAAGAATTATGAGCTTCGGATACGACTCAAGATGGTTCGGAAAAGACTCTACGAGGCAGTCTCTGTATAACCTTGCCGAGGACTTCTTGTACCAGTTAAATCAGACTAGAGAGGTATGCCTGATGTTCGCAACTTGGATGACAATCATTGTGCGGATAACTAATGTCAGGCACGTTAGGCATGTTCCCAACGTCCAATGGTCTTGATTGCCCATTGTTTTGGTGGACTCATCGTGCAGAGCGTACGTAATGACCGAGTCGTTCTGCGAACTGACTGTAGCAACTTACTGACAGCTTTCCAGGCTTACAATAAGTCGTGCATGCAACCTGGAGACTTCCCGGGAGTTTGGCAGTCAATGAGAGGAATGGTGTTTCTCGGGACGCCCCACTCTGGTGTCAACGAAGGCTCCTCCATGTCCAGACAAGGCGAGATTTATGCGGCTATTGCTGCTAGCAAGATGGAAATACAAGACAATGTGTTGCAGTCTATCATGCGGGACAATGATGTCCTCGAGAGCACCCGCGCCGAATTCACAAGGAAGGTTAGCACGTCTAAGCCGCCACCGAAGATCTTTTGTTTTTTTGAGCTCCGGCCAACCAATTTGGGTGCCATCGTTGGAGCGCAACTACCAAAGGTAAGCAGTCGAGCAAGAATAGTCCCCTCTATCTTGAAGAAGTTTCACTAATGTCGCTGTTGCAGGAGTTTCTAGTTGGTGAGTCGTCGGCAACACTGAGTGGGCATGAGAGACAGGGACTCGCTGTGGACCATTTCTACATCAACAAGTTTGAAGACAAGTTCGACAACCACTATCGCAACGTTGCATACCAACTTTTGAGAATGGTGAAAGAAGCCAAGATGCATTCACAAGATGCAATCAGTGGTACGGCACACTCTCTATTCGAACTGAGACTTCTGTCTAACTGTTAAGTGAAGCATCAGGGGGTGCGCCATCGCCGCCTTTTGATGGCCGAATTGCTGTATTACCGGGCCTCATCGGAAAGCGTCAGAACTTTGCCCCGCGTCAGGAAATTTTGGAACGGCTTGAGGAAAGACTATCCAAGAGAGGCATGGCTGCCTTGTGCGGAGACTCAGGAAGCGGGTAGGTTGACCATTGACCACAAAGTGCTCGAAATCATTCGATTGACATGATGGTTTATCTAGGAAAACTCATGTTGCAGTGGAGTATGCCGACCGATACTTGCATCAGATTGGCAACCACTGTCAAGTCTTCTGGGTCAACGCCGCCAGCCCAGACGAATTTGAGGTATCATTTAAGAGAATTGGAGCTAAGCTCCGTGTGTCACCCTTGGGACTCAGCCATGACGCGTATCTTTCTGCAGTCAAGGAACACTTGAAGCACGAAGAACAGTGGTTGATGGTTCTGGATGGTCTCAATGATGACGAATCCCTGCATTTCACCGACTCAAATCCTGGGCAAGAGCCAAAGCCACTTCTGTCCTTTCTGCCCAAGCCTTCGGACAACCACAGGCTGCTGATCACCACTACGCAAAGAACTTTGGCCCTTCGACAAATGAATTCGAAAGACAAGAACGTTCTATCAGTCGGTGATCTGACACGGGACGACGCCTCACGCCTTCTTCTTGGAAGGGTCGCCAGTAGCTCTACTAACGGAAAGCGTATCGGAGAGATCATCAGCATTGTTGGTGATTCCGCCGGTGCACTCGAGCTTGTGAGACTCTGTGGCATCGTCACACAGACAGCCTTTTCTTCCCAGCTACTCGACCTTTTGCGCAAGCATTGCAAAGGGAACCAGAATGGAGAAAGCCCGAAGCCGGCTTGGAACTTGCTCTGGAATTCTCTAAAAGCCAAAAACAGTGAACTAGCATATTGGTTCCACATCATCGGACTTCTAGATCTCCAGATGATACCCAGTATCTTCTTCTCTAACAATGAGAGGAAGATCTTGCTCGAAGAGCTCACCAGAGTGGGCTTTGTGGAGCATTCCGATGGAAGAAGCTTCTATCGAGTGCCAGCATTCTTCCGCCACTGCCTTGAATCTACAATCACCGACAAGCACCGGATGGACGCAGAGGCTGCATTGCTGCAATCCGCGAATACCAAATTCGTTGAGGAAGATCGAAGTTTTCTCCTTCCGGTCGCACTAGCCGCTTTGAAGTTGAAAGCCGCTCGTCCGGACGCCAAGAGAGAACAAGAAATCTTACGTGAAAAGGTGGAGAGCTACCGACAACAGCGCCAAAACAGCTTGAGCCCGGGCATTGGGTATCTCTCCGATGATCCTGAGCGGTTGTCCGCAGGCAATGGCTGGGATCAACTTCGACTAAGAACCCTTGAAGGCTCATTGAACCAGCGCACAGGCCTTCCTAATTCTCATCAACGATCTATTTCTGAAGATAGTAGTGGCTGGCCGTCATGGCAGCGTCGCCAGCGGAGGTTGATGGATCCCGAATGGGAGAAGAAGCGTGAAACACTCAGGAAGGAGAGCAGCGTCGCTGCTCAAATCCTATCTCACGGTCGGCCACCAAAAGGCTCTGAAGATGCAACAAGTATCTATAGACGTGTGATCGACGGCTACTCCGCTGAACCTGAAGAATACCTCAAGTTGGCAAGCTTGCAATACAACTTGGCCATCGCACAGGGCTCAGAGGGAATGGTAGATGATGCGGCTACTACATTTCGCCAGGCACTCCAGACTATCCTCTCTGGGGATGACCCTCAAAGTCGGAACATCGAGTCAACAAAGTTGTATTATCGGATCTACACCGACCTTGCAAGCATGTACGTCTCCGACGGGCGCTTCGCTGAAGCTGAGGAGACATTCATGCACTTTCTTCCAAGTCAGGCCAAAGACCTGGGACAAGACAGTCAACAGACTCTGAAGACGCGACATGAGTTTGCTCGCCTACTTCAAAAACGTGGTCAAAGCGAACTCGGCGGCCAGGAACTTGAGAGAATTCTCAGAGCCAATGAGCGTGTGCTCGGGAAAAATCACCGAGACACTCTTACGGTACGATGCAGCTTTGCGACGCACCTTGCGAAGAGTGGAAAACGAGATGAAGCTGTCAAAATGCTGTTGTCTGTGTGGAGGGAGCAGGAGAAGGCGTTGGGAAGTTCACACCGTGAGACAGCTGCTACTCGGCAGCTCCTTGACGAGCTTCAACAGTCCCAGCCTGTTGTAGCATGATGGCACTGGCTTATTTATGTTGTGTTGTATGATCGTTTCCTTCGGAAATCGCGTATGTCCGCGTTCTGTCGCTATCGTTGTCAAATAGAATAATTTGCTTTTGTCTTGCTCATACATTTATCTTATCGTTGACTTCTCTGGAAAGACATGCTGATCAAATCCTATTAAAGTCTGCAAGGCCGTGTAACATTCCCATTGCTGCGAAGTTAGAATCCCATGTCCTCCACTAAATGGAAAATGCGATGATCAAGGACATTAGTAGTAACAATAACAAGTACGTAGAAGCGACGATAAGAATTATAGAGGAGATGATAGGGACGCTCCATGGCGACCAAGATAGCAGAGACGACGATAATAGGAACAGCAATAACGATGAAGGCAACCACAGGGATTACAAGGACGATAGCAAGGCAGGATACAGATGTGGTTATGAGAAAAGTAGGCGCTGTAGCACAGGAAGTCTCAATTATTTTTGGATAGTTGCACATCGATCAGCTTTAAGAGAGGTGTAAATTCAATTATGCCCTACTATCTATAGCGCTGATTGTAATGCAGTTTGTGCCATATGCTCGGCCAATTTCCATGCATGTTATTCATTATCGTTGGCCCCGTGTCTGTCGATCGTAACCGCCAGATGTCGAGTTGTCCTGACTTGCAGGCTGCTGATTTTGTCAACGTGCATTGCGTGCTTCAGCTTGCTGCGCGGCCGCAGCCGCCTGAAACATACTAGTCTGTTGCTGTCGCTCGAGTCTCAGCTGATGCTGCCTACCCTCGATTTCTGCTCTATGGGCCGCCTCTTCTTGTTCACGTCGCAGTTTATCTGCATGATCTCGATCACGAATGCGTCTCCGCTCTTGGTCCACTCTCCGACGAGCATCCTCATCCAAAACAGCCTTTGGCATGCCGACGGCGCCGGCCGGCTGAAGTGCCTCGAGCTGATGTGGTTCAAACCGGGCAAAGAAACGGTCTTCACAGGACTTCTCTGTGAGAAGACGCATGAGGTGTGGGATATAGCTAGGATCGCCCCGGTAGAGCTTGTGCTTGAAGTACATGGTGGCTGAGTAGGCGTATTTGATCGAAGATTTAGCGTCCACATGAGTGAAAAGATTGTTGTCGTGGTTGATGTATCGCCACAACTGGATATCGAGCAAGGCCTTTGTGATGTGGTATGGTCGTGTATTCTCGAGCGCCAGGAACAGAGCATTCATGCCCTTGTGGGGGGCGAACGGGTCCGCCTTACCTTTTTCAAGAGTGCGGATGGTATCTTCTAGCTCGGGTGAGATATTGCTGCAGTTGCTGCGATAGCAAAGTTCTTGAAGTGCCGTGCGTCCTTCATGGAGGCTGCTGGGGAAGTTCGGTTCATGCTTTGCCTTAATGAGGATTTCGATGACCTCGCTGTGCATGTTTCTTGCTGCCTCATGAAGACTGCCGTCATTGGGTGCAGCCTTCGCTTTGAGAAGAGCTTGAACTGCAGCCGTGTTGCCTCTGCCGGATGCGAAGAAGAGTGCGGTACGACCAGTATTGTCGCGATCACCTGGCTTGGCCCCAGCTTGAAGTAGCTTAACAACAAGTTCTGCGAGACCGAGCTGGGCCGCAACTATCAATGGCGTAACGCCCGACTTAGATCGAAAATTGACGACATCTCCTTGAATTTGTAAGCTTTTACTCACCATCAAGTTACGGCCAGACATGACTTACGATGTGCTTCAACTAGAACCGCTAGCATTGATGGCGCAATATCAAGTTTGTCGTTCTGGAAGAGTGCCCATACAAGAAGGGGTACCCATTCCTCACCACCATCCAACTTCGTACCTATTGAAACGTTCGCCTTACAACCCAGCTGTATGAGACGCCTCGCGAGCCCCTCAGCCTTTGAGTGAGTCGATATGCATGCCTGTAAGGGGAAGCAGCCGTCAGGGAGCAAAGCTTCGACGTCAAATCTCGTTCGACTCCGTTGGCAGGCCGCAATCAAAACGTCAAGAATACCCAATGCTGTTCCCTGATCCATCTTGGATGTTATGAGCGTTTGAAATGCGTTGGTCAAGGCCTGTCGTCCGGCGTTGTTCAAGCCCAGCTTCTTCAAAAGGGCTATGTTGCCACGTCTCGCCGCAATTTGCAAAGCTTTGCCGCCTTGGTCGTTCACATCAGCACCCCGGCCAACTCGAAGCAGTGTTTCGATAAGATGCTCCCGCTCATGGCCGTCAACATGTGCGCTAGCAGCATTGATCAAGGCTTGGTTCACACTGGTGCCTTCGCAACCCCACTGGAGCAATGAGTGGATGAGCCAGAGATTCGCAGGCAGCTGCCAATCCGAAGAGGCTGCAATAACGAAGCTCATTACTTGCTCTAGCGATGCGGGGTCCGTTGCCGTTGCTAAGAGTTGGACAGCGTCGCGATTGTAGAGGCAGGCAGCTCGTGCCATCGCGCCATCGACCTTGGGGCCCGATGCACCATGGTCCAAGAGGAATTGAATGATGTAAAGGCCCTTTGAAGACGCCCATGCATCTCCGTCCTTTGTCAGAGCGCTAATCCCACCGCTAAAGATCGTGGGAGAGGTGATAAATTCGGACAGATACTTCAGGACATCCAGGGCGAGATTTCTTGAAGCTGCAGCTACAGCAACGCCTTGTAGGTACTCGCTCTTCGCAATATTGGTGCCTTCGACGAGCAGCCTCAAGGTTGAAAGTCGTGCGGCTGCCACATCCATCTTCATTGTTGCGTCGATTGACAATGCGACGGTATCCAACGAAGGGTCATGCTGCAGTAGTAAGCGGAGTATGTTGGCTCGATTCGGGTTGAGTGACTGCAGCACAGCGTTGCCCTTTTGGGCATTGACATCTGCGCGACCTTTCTTGAGGAGCAGCTGGATAATTCGGAGTCGATCCTCTTCATTAGCAGGCGGTATTGACCTACTCAACACGCGACAGAGAGCGTCAGAAACGGCGTCTCCTCTGATATCCGTTGAAAGAAGCATCTCAATCAGACGATGGACCATCTTCACGTCAGGTAAATCGGTGGCCTGACTGAGGACTGAAGCCAAAGTCTTCGGGGACAACTTTCTCGATGTGTCATCAGAGAGAAGCTTCTGTATTGTATCGAGGCGACCGGAGTTGACAGCCGACATCAAGATACTTTCGATGCTTGTTGCGGAGGCTGAGTCAACAGTGGTCCCGTTGACAACAGCTAAAGTTTGTGTCGGGGTCGCGTTGCTCGGTGCTTCGGAGTCGCTTGCAGCAGCGTCGATGCATGCTTGTTGTATTCGGTGTTGGCCATGATCGCGAGCACACTTTGCTGCGTCTTTCAGAAGGGTGGAATGCTGCTTGGTTTGGGTGCGAGAAATGATTGCAAAAGCAACGTCCTCTTTCCCCTTCCGAGTCGCTTCGAGCAGAGCTGCTCCTCCTTGGAAGGAGATGTCCGCTCCTTTTTCCATAAGAAGAGCTGCCTTCCTTACACTGCCTGCCTTCGCAGCGCGCACGAGGCCTTGATTCTTGCATTGGCGACAGGCCCCTTTGAGATCTCGTAAGAGTAGAAGAACCATATCAATTGGTCCCGAGTCGACGCATTTGAGAAATAGTTCGCAATGGGGACTGGCATCAGCACCTTTCGCGAGCAGAATACTGGTCTTGACGGGGTCGGCGATACGAAGAGCGACAGGCAACGCTTCGTTGATTGCTTGTTCGTCCGCATCCTGAGCAAGGACGATGAGGATGTCGCTTGAGCAGTTCTTGGTAGCTAGCGAGAGGACATCACTTCGTTCCTCGATCTGGTCCTTTCCAGAAAACACTTTGAAAAGATTCGTGCTCTTTGGTTTGGCTATGGACACGTCGGCTCCACAATCTAGAAGCGCCTGAGCCAGCCCTGGTGTTGCATCTGGAATGAGGCCCTGGGCCAGTTTGGACAGTATTGGATTTGCTTCTTTGTAGCCGAAGTCGCCCGATCGTCGATTTCCGTCTTCTTCGCGTTGATCAATCATGAGCTGCTCCACTTTGTCATAGTCCTCTTCTGTAGGGTCTTGAGGTTGATGAATTAGGCTGGAAAAAGCGCCGACGACTGAAGGGCTAAGGGACAATGTCCGTCTCATTGGAGCTATCGCCGTTCCAGAGGGCCCTAGCTGTGTCATGGTTGAGATTGCCACGGATAAAGTGAGTGATGATAGGTAGTTGCAATGTTTGTTGCCTATCAGGTAGTGTGGTGAAGGAATAAATCTTGGTAAATGAGTTTTATGCGATGTGAGTTTCTAAGACCACCAGATCACACCAGAGGAGCTGAAGAATTATTATTCTCATCGAAAATTTCGAAAAGTTCAAACTCACGGTCTGATTGACTGGGGATGCCGCGAGACCCCGAACCAAGCCTCATTCTCACGTCTTTCACAGCCTGATCTTCTTTCTTGACATAGCGAACTGAAGCATGTAAGCTCAGCCCATCGCAGCCCACCACTCTTTGCTTACTACTGCATTGCACGGTTTCATGTGGGGGCTAGATATGGCATCCTCACTCTATGGTGTGAGGGGTACTTCGTCCTGAAGTATCTCATGTAGTCACTTCGGCCATGTAGCCTGATCCAGCACCCCGCCAAGACAATATTTGGACGCCCACATGACACCTGCAGTCCTGAAGGTTGTCTAAGCCGCGAACCTGAACAGTGTCGAGACGGGTTGGATGTGATGGCTTCGCGGATTTCTAATTTCAGTACGCGCTGCAGACGCGCTGGACACCTCTCATTCGATTCATGTTCATCGCTGTCAAATGAAGAGTATTCTGAGACTGATGGGCCTCATTTGAGGCTAAGGAAAATGCTGTACAGCCTGGTTCTTACACGGCTATGTCTAGAGCGGGCGTCTGAGTGGTCGGCGCCTGAGAGAAAAGATTTCCGCCGACAGCATCTCAACTTCGCGGCCTCTTTTATACATGTGGGCTTCTTTTCATCAGGGATGGGATGGGCGAGATTGGTTCTGACAAAACATTCCTTCCTATTCATTTCACACCTAAAGCTACACCAATTTTAAGACGCTTACACTGATTTTGACTCTGAAGGACAATTCTTTCCAGCGTGAGCCTATCTTGTCTCTTGCGAACGACCTGTTCTCCGTCACGGATCTTCTGCAATCCCTTATCACGATACCAAACATCCATCAACCCCTTACTTTGAAGAATATACTCGCAAAAATGAGTTCTCATCCATCAAACCCGTCCTTTTCTGACTACAAAGGTCCCGGAAGTGAGATACAGCCACTTCATCCCCCTGCTCTGAGGCCTGGCGTTCTCAGACCTAGCCCTGATGGCACTGTCAACAGTACCTATGACCGGCCTTCGCAGCTGGACGTCACGATAGGCTCAGCTGAACACGTTTTCAACTGCCTTCGTGGAGGCCGAGGTCTAGCATGCCCTCACTTTCCAAAGTATACCGCTGGAACTCTCACCGTTCACCGGGAGTATCCAAGTCGACTCGGCTTCTTCCATGCTTCCGATCCCAAGGGGTTCATCAGCTACCTGGAAACAGCCAAATTCTGCCCAAACTGCCTCGATCAAGTAGTTCCAAATGGGTACACCTACTGGACGATGATCCCAAGCGGCGACGGCCGGGCCATTGAGGGCCGCTGGCTAGACACAGCCATGTCATCGCAGATGTATCCACGGCTGTATCAATCTGGAACCGAGCGCTTCAACCAAACAACTCTTCGGCCACAGTCTGTTCCTGCTAAATTCATTACTCAACCAAAGGAACTCCCCATTCCCCAGATCGCTGAGGCCCATGATGCGTGGCGGTGGATGCAATCTCAGAGGAAGCCCTTCTACATCGACGCACTTCACCTCACGACCGGTTGGACTCCATATGCCGAACTATCAGCTCAAGAGGACTCCCGAATTGTGAGGAGAAGCGGACAATCTTTCGTCATGAGCCGACCCTCTGGGGCTACCCAGATCTTTGCACAGCGGCATATCACCCAAGACAATGCCCCCCTCCCCAACATGACTCGCTCTTCGATACCGCAGCCTCCGTCTGATATGTCAATCACGAAGCAAGATCATCAGCAGTCTATTCCGACCGCCATACCCGCATCCATTAGGACCGGCCCAAATATCACTGCAACTGCAGCCTCTTCAATCACACGGAAGGCGGTGCCAACCACTTCCGCACGTCCAGATCTATCCCACGCATCCTCTGTTCCTAACATGCAAAGGCGAGCCGGTGTCGCAGCTTCTACAGCGACTTATTCTTCAACTGCAGTTGCAATCAGTCAGACTATGCTGATGACGAACATGGCCACTTCTGCTGATTCGAGATTGCGATCAACATCGGCGAATGGAATGCGCGCGGTATCACAGCCAGGGTTTGACACGGCAACCAAAGTAAAGCAGAAACCTCATGCTTTGGGTAGCAGCAATCGTCCTGGCCATGGAAGCCTGCAGGATATGAGGCATGTTTCAGCAGGATTGCCGCGCCCTCAAAGCAGTCGTCCATCTAGCTCTGTGTCGAACCGAACTTTCCCTTGCCCTATGCCCATACCAGCTGGAGATATCAAACCAACACTAGTGGCGGCTCCGGGCTTCAACCCAACCATGTCAACCGGGAGTCAACATCCTATAGGAGACCCAGACTTGAGACCAATCGAAGGCTCCATCAAGCCAGCGCCTAGGCAGGCCATAAAGCCTAGTGCTGGAACAGGAGACCACATGTCTAACGTGGCGAAGGCCCAGGGCAACAATGGGCAGGTCAGTGTCCTTCACTCAAGATTGCATGGCTCCGCACCAAGCAGTAAGACCAAACCTCCAGGCTCAACCACGTACCGCACCAGTAGCTGGTATCGTCACGATCCAATCGACTTTGATGAATTGGATTCTGGTCTGGCGACAACAGTACAACCGCAGTTGCCGGCGCCAATGTCTGGGCACTCGTCGTCACTTCCAACGATCCTTGAACCAGTTGGTGGTACGAAGAATGGATCAGCTACCTTGGATAGTGCCCGAGTCACGGAGATCTTCCGACTTTTTGGACCTAATGCCGAAACGCGACCTACGCAGCCAAGTATGACGCAAAAGACTTCAATCAAGGTCACGAGTGGGATCCCGCCGCAACATCCAGACAGAACCAACAAGCTGATACCAAAAACTCAGAGCGCTTTGAAGGAGATGGCAGGAAAGAAGCCAAAGCCCCAACTCAAGCAGACTCAAGCCGCCCAGAAAGGATTTCAGGCGACGCCTCCCACCAGGACAGCTCAGCACGTGCGGGAGGGCCAACCACCCAAGTCTGTTGCACGCCATCCTGACTCGGCAACTCCTGCTCTCAAAACCACTCCGGCGGCACAAAAGGATCGCTCGAGGTCCACTATTCATACCGGCAGGTCTAAAGCATCCGCCGACGGCGAGCGAGCTACGGGCCAGAGTCAAACAGGGCCGAAAGCCCCAAACAATAAAGTCAGCGGCATTAAACCAACTAAAGCAACCCCGAAGAGACAGTCTGGTCGGGCAGGGTCGAGTGAGCGCAAAGGGTCCAGAGTTTCAGGGAAGGAGAAGAAGACCTCAGGTCCAAAGCCTCAAAACCCTCCTCCCAAAGGGAACAAATCCAACGGTTTGTCTCCGACTCCTGGCAAGCGCGGAGGAAACAGCAGCCACATCACCAAAAACAGCTCCGTGACAAACTCAACGACTAACACCACCATTCATGTCATCGGTGGAAACTCCGACAATTCGGAATCGGAGCGTAATACCACGAGCGATGACCTGTCTGGAGACGAGACCGATGGAAATGGCGACTTCCCTGAGGCCACTGGTGTTGATACTTCGGTGCCATCTTCACCAGTTAGTTCAACCGGGCAATATCCTACAGGACAATCAGAGTCGGAAAGTCCCTCCAACAACAATGGAGAGCCTGATCAACAGCTTGAGACTGCGTCTCATTCATCATCTCCAGCATCTCAGATTGGTGGTCAAATATCAAATTTCCCTGGTCAGCAAGCCCAGGTCCAGATCCATGGTCATGGGGTTCAGTCGGAGACCGGCATAGGCACTTTGCCATCAGGCACATATATCCCCGCTTCATTCATCTCCCAGGAGTCTGCAAATGAAGGCTTTGGTCAAGGTTTCCAGTCTGATGCCGCAGAGAGCGCAATGCCCTCACACAATGGCACACAGTCTGCGTCTGGGGCTGCCACGGCTGGGGGACAGGGCTCAGCCACCCCCTACTCGACGCAGGATTCACTTACGGGATACATGCAGCAACCTGTGTCGCAGCCAGGGTACGAGCAGGGTGGACAAATGTCGTTATTTCCTTCAAATGGAAATGCTCCCTACGACGATCAGCATTGGAATCCCGCGCCATCGGGGCCACCAGCCTTTTCACCCGGCAATGGCAATCGTCGGCTTTCCAATCATCTCAGCCTGAATCCTGGGACTTCGTACCCGGTTATGGAAAGCGACAACAAGCTACAGCCAGGCTGGAGGGCAAACGCGATTGGCGATGCGTCTGGCGGTAGTTCATTTTCAGCTCCTGTTGGGACGAAGCCCCCGTCAATTCAGGGACTGCCTGTAGGCGCCCCAACTTACGTGGCATCTGAACAACAGCCCTCAGTGCCTGCCTCCACCACTACCGGAGGATGGCCTCCGAAGAATTCAGGATTTGATGCCGACTCTTACGGTGTTCCTAATGCTGAAATGGATCGCAAAGGGCAGACCCAAGATGCAGGGCACATGCCAGCCGCTCAACCGGGGCCGTTCTCCAACCAAGTCGTATCTCCATCGTGGCCAGTGGAAACTGGACAGGGAAACAATTGGAGCTACCTTTCTCCGACTACTGCGCAAGCCCCCGAGTCCTCGTACGATCCATGGGCACCACAGACAGGGGCTTCAAATCAGTCGAAGACAGACCCGTGGGAAGGAGCACAGATTACAGGCATGGGCAAGCCGAATTCAGCCTGGGATTCCCAAGTTGAGCCCATGTATCCTGGCCCATCAGCAAAGCCTTACACTTCAGGTACCCAAGCGTGGCAGCCACAGGGAAGTCTTTCAACGGGGCAGGGTCACTATTCCTCTCCCAATGAAAATCAGAATGCAACTTTGGCAGATTGGAGCAATCGTAAAAATGCCTCAGCCGCCGGAGGACCCCAAGCATCTCATGATCCAACATGGCAGGCTTCGGCGCCCTACGCAGAACAGAGCTCGCACATAGGTCCTTATGGCTCTCGAAAAGGACCCGATGAGCATCAGCCTTTTACACATGGAGGCCAGCCATCACCGAACTCCGACAGCAGAACCAACAGATTGACAGCAGCTGCCTTGGGTTTGGCTGCGGGAGCAGCTATCGGTTATGGAGTTGCTTCCTTGGCTCGTAGCTCGTCCACATCGTCTGCATCATCAAGGGCTTCCGATCAGGGAGATGACGAATTGGAGCCATATAGCACCCAGGTTTGGAACGATCCATATGGACAACATGGCACTCTATATGACGATGAAAATGATGCTTCTCAAGAGACGAGCAGTATCAAAAGTGTGAGTTCGTCGTCGCCATCAGATCAGGAAACTACAGGCTGCTTTGCACCAGAGCAACAATCGGTGAATAGCAATTGGGATGAAAATGCCGACAGCACCCACTACGCCGACATGAACCACCATGGAGACCTTTACAGGAACGATTCTCAGCATTTCGACGACCGATTCATGACATCAAATCAATCTTCGCCGACTTACTACAACGACGAGCATTTTGCTCAGCAACCGAACGAATTTGAACAACTATACGCACACCAAGAGGTCTTTGACAATGCTGATGAGCATGGTAATTGGCCCGGTGAGGACAATACATATCAGCAGTCACACGAAGATCAATTTGAGAGTGATAATGAGAGCGCGTCTGATTCAGAGTCCTTGCTCTACGATCACCAGCCCGATTACGGCCATGAGCCACAGAATCAGTACTTTCAACATCAAGGATATGCGCCAGAGGCCTATCAGGACTCAGTTGGATCTGAGGATGAACAGAGTGATGTGCAGACCGACTATCAGGATGAAAATGGTGGCGAGTTGAGCGAACAGTCTGACGGTCACGATGATGAGGATGACTACGATAATGGATTTGACTCCCAAGACGACTCAAACTAATTGAGAACAACTGGGGACGACGAAATAGATCGTGTATGCTAGGTTTCTTTGTAAATTGTCCGTTTTGATTAAAACAATTCATCGATCCATGGATAGAAATTGCTGTCTACATGAGAACCTGTATCGCGTGACTAATGATTCGACAACAAGAGTATGTTGCCCTTTTTGCAACGATCATACCAATCAAATCATTAAACACGTGCCAAGCTCCGCAGATCAGAGCTATCAGTTCTTCGTCCCAGGGGGCCAAGCAGCAATATGAGTCACACTGCATTTCCTACGTAAGAATTGGTCTCCCAAGGCGGACACTTCTTTCGTACCTCAATTATGCCGAGTCAAAAGCTGCTTGAGTTGTCACGTAAGCCTGCATAATCTCTGCGAAGGGTGTCCTCACGTACATGGAGCCTTACTATTCTAGGGACTCGGTCAAGAACCAACAAGAGGTTTCTGTGGTTGCACTGATGGGACAGCATATGCATGCAGTGTGAATGGGCTTGTCCATAAGTGAATATCCACAACAGCCCCTGCTCACCGCGACATACCCTGTCGGTGCATGAGAGGTTCTTCTGCAGTCATGGAAACAAGTTGGTAGAGGGGTTGGAGAAATTTCAAGCACAGCATGCTTATATGTGTCCATAATCTGCTGACTTTGCCCATCTTGGCAGTTGGATGCCAATTTCCATTTATGATCCTCGCCTAGAGAAACTCACTAGGCACACTTTCAATTGAACAACAAACAGAATCATCATGGATGTTCCCAGCATGGAGACCTGGTGGTACGAGCCAGATCCCGATAGCTTACGATGCTTAATATGCCAGAATGATTTCGCAAAGACAGCTCTCGTTCGGACATTCAAAGTCACATTGCCAAACATGCATCAAGATGAGGCCACAGCTTCCAGCAAGACTATAACCACCCATACGGGATGGCAAGTCGTCCTGTTTGACAGGCATCTACATTGCCTTAAAGAGACAAACGTGCGCCTGTTGGCGATCTCCCACGTGTGGGATCCTACTGTCTCTCAGACTCAACAGTTACACCTTCATTCTCCGCAGGACCCAGGGGTGAAAAGGACGGTCACTGAAGAGCCGGTCCGTATGTATCGTGGTGTTGAGGAGTCTGGAGAAGCTGCGTTTGAGTTATGGCACGACTACTTTAGTGTGCCCCAGTGGTCAGACGCCCTCAAGGGGAACATCCTGCTGGTAATACACGAGATCTTTCATCAGGCGGATGTTACAGTTGTCTACCTGGATGACGTTTTGCCTCGGCTATTCAGCCAGATAACAGAGGGAAGGTCTTCAATGGAGCGTCTGACGGCCATCACCGGAGTTTGCAAGGCTCGTTGGTTCAAACGCATGTGGACGGCCATGGAGTTCGTACGTAGCAGAGCCGTCAGGATTATGACTGCGGACTTCCATCTCGCAGTTGACACCGGAGATCCTATGCTACTTCAGAAACTTGAGACTCAGTTCTACAGAGAAGTTCAAGAGCACTTCGGGAGCAACTTGTACGAAGTACAAGGCATCGTCCACATGGAAGCTGGAAATCTGATACCATGGTGTCTTGGTCCTCTCAGAGAAACTCGGTCATCCCAACCCGCCATCTTCGGAATGGCATTCTCCTTGCTTTCGAAACGGCTTTACCGCGAAGATGCCGACTTTTTGCACGCTCTCCGAGGTATTACTGGAGTTCTGCAGATGCCGTCCTCTAGAGACTTCTACGAAGAGTTACTTTGGGTAGCTAAGGAGCGCCTTTTGGCTGGCGACTACAGTCCCTTGCTTATGACTCCGAAATTGGCCATTTATGATCGGCGATTGGACCCGGCCGAGGCGTATAATTTCAACGACGTATGGACCTGGGACTTCGGGGATCAAATCAGCCCACCGATATATGGTCGACCTTCAATTGGGTCACAGGAAAATACACTTTGGGCGAAATTTGAAGCTATTGGAGTTGTCCAAATGATAGTAGAGCCAACTGGATTCGGCAACGATGTGCAGCATCTGAAATCATCTATCGACATTACCCTCACTGTTACAGGGCCTGAGCTTGAGCCTTTTGTCGAGACTTTGGGGTCGAGGATCTATGGAGCGAACAATCAGGTCATCATGAAAAATCTCAAAGACAACTGTATGGTAGACCCAATGTAGGAAGCCCTTCTATCACATCATGAGGGATGCCGGCAATGGCGGGGCTGGTGGGTGAAATCGCTTGGGCTAGGAGGCGACGAGATCATCCGGTGGTTTGCCGATGCCCTTACACTCGCGAAGCCAGTCGAAGGTCTGGGCCAGACGCATCTGTATTCCGTTGGAGGAAAGTTTGGACCAATGCACTGCGGCCCGCACATGTACTTTGCGACGATTTACTGCGATCATTGCCACAAGACAGCGCTTTTTCGCGTTGGTCTATTTGCCCCCAAGTACGAAGCTCGCGGAGCTAGAGCGTGGAGGATACCAGGACTACAGTACAGCCTGTCGCATTACGACGGGATGGCTTTTTTGGAGAAAAATGGCCGAATTGTTCGTCGGATGATGTGGGCGACTCCAGCTTGCGCTTGTCGAAAGGCGGAGGTTGTTGAGTTGCAGATGCCTCAAATACCCGACCCACTGCGCCAGGGGACTAGGTCGTGTGCGCAAAAATCTGCACACTTCATCCTGGTTCTTTTGGGCGATTATAAGGAGGCTATCGCTACTTTTGAGGTAGCGATAGATAGTATTAATATAGTATAGTAATAATATCTTAATATTAAAGGAGTAATAAGTTATAGTAACATAAAGAAAGAGATACCTACTCCTTAGCGATTCGCGCTCTCTTTATATACCCCTATAGGTAGCTATAGAGGTTTCTCTGTGAGCTATCCTAGCCCTCGATTATTTCCCCGTGAGAGTCATACGGCAGTCAATAAGGTGCGCCTCTAGGCGGCAAACTGCGAAGAAGAAAACTTAGAAGGGAAGAAAGATACCCGACCCACGCAAATACCCAAAGTGGGAGATGTGAGCTTGACTGACTGAAAGGTCATATATCACGCGTCGATTGACGAAATTATTGATATGGATGAGTTGCAGTAGGTTTTTTCCATGCAAAGTTAAGCTGATAGTGAGGCATCTGACCAATTTGACCGACTGGGCTGTCAATCAACTCACCGGGCGTATTTGTGTAATCTATTTCATTGCCTGTCTGTAACACGCGCAGCTTGGTATGTCGCCATGTGCACTTGAAATGAAGTTGTTATCCATACTGATTTAGAAGTAATACATACTATGGGATGCTCAGAGATATATTCCGGAGAACTCCAATCTTGCTCCCTTCTTCTCCCTTTGGCAGCACGCATCTAAGGCTTCATAGCATCCGTCCATCAAACGGACCGGCCGCGAGGCGTCAGGCACACCATTAGCTCGGGCTTCTCCCAAACAACCCAGGCCTGCTGTCCCTGCGTCCAACTCTTGCTCTCGTCGGCCAGTCGCATTTCGAAGTTCCAGATGACCCTGGCCAGAATCGTTCTCATCTCAATATAGGCAAGACTGGGTTCAAAAGTTTGTCAGCAGAATGTCGCAAGCAATGAAACAAGCAACTACAGGGTTTCAACGTACTTCATTCCGATGCAGTTTCGAGGCCCAAAGGAAAAGGGCTTCCGGCCCTCTCTCTGGTCGGTTTCGAACCGGGGATCACCAAGCCAGCGCTCCGGAATGAACGATTCGGGCTCGGTGAAGTTGCTTGAGCTGTGGTACATTGCCCAATGGGGGATACTTATAACGGTCTAAGGAGGTTAGTGACTACACAGTAGAAGCTTCTATCTGCCGGCACAGATTTGAGCAAGGATGAAAACTTACACCCTCGGGCACAAAATACCCACAAAACTCGTCGCCGCCTTTGCGCACCACTCGTGGTGACGTGTGGGGAAGCGGTGGGTTTAACCGGAGAGTCTCGTCCAGGACGGCGAGAAGGTAGGGCAGCTTCTGAACGGAGTGAACGTCGATGTCTTCCTCTCTGGGGAAAGCTGAAAGGATCTCGTTGGTAAGGCGTTCCATGACTTTAGGATGAGACGTGACGAAGAACGTGACAGCAGACAGCGCCGTCGCCGATGTCTCGGACCCGCCCAGCATGAGAAGGAAGCTGTTGCTGACCATCTCGCGCTTCTCAATCGTCTTTTAGGAGGAGATTCTTATCAGCATATCTTATCCGGCGTCGGCTTCGCCACAAAGAGACTTGCCTTTTCACCCTTCTGTCGGAGCATAGACTCCAAAAAGTCCGGGCGGGAACCCCCTTCAGCGATCCGCTTCTCTACATTGGCTGCAGCCAGGGCAAAGTTCTCTTCCTCCCCGCGAGAGAGTTCCTCTGGGATTAGTGCCTTCAATAAAGGGGAGAAGGGGGGAAAGCGCATAGCGAGGCCGCGGAACATCTGATGTTTGACGGTGCGACTCAAGGCAGCGATCCAAGGGTGGTCTTGCTGCTTCGCAAGGCACCCGAGAGGCTCGCCCCAGGACAGATCGCTAATGACGTCGAACGTGACACGGTTATACCACGTCACCATATCGACGGGAGACGTACCATTTTTGCAGTGCTCATGAAGCCGTCGGATGAACAGGTCGACATAAACGGATATGAGTGGCTGCTGGTCCAAGATAGCCTGCATCGAGAACCCATGGGATAGGACACGGCGCATTCTGCTGTGGTCCTCGAGGCTGGCGCCGAATAGATTATGCTCATTACCCACAGTCGCAAGTGGTTCCTTCACGTTTTCGGGCTTCGATCCTTTGCGGCGGCCGTTGCTGTCCTTCCACGCGTTGGGGTGTATGAAGGAGAGTTCATTGTCGGCGATTCTCACAACCGGGCCGTATCTGTCATGGAGTCGGAGAAGATCCTCGTGTGGTCGGCCGCCGATCTGCGATATTGCGTAGCGTACTCGGCTTACAATCCACGCTTTGGGACCTGGGAAATGGCGCAAAGGGTGGAGTAGAATATTGTAAAGGGCCTTTCCACAGACGTATGCCAGACACTG